GAACTATCGAGAACTAACGAAGAACTAACGATTGGTATATAGATGTAAGCATTTTTATACAAAAAAGTGTGCCCGCTGGTAATTCTATAATTGTGAAGTTGGCGTACCCACTTTGTATGCCTCGTAACTTTTTTATTTTTTGAGAACTAACGTTAATATTGGAGAACTATCGAGAACTAACGAAGAACTAACGATTGGTATATAGATGTAAGCATTTTTATTCAAAAAAGTGTGCCCGCTGGAAATTCCATAATTGTGAAGTTGGCGTACCCACTTTGTATGCCTCGTAACTTATTTATTTTTTGAGAACTAACGTTAATATTGGAGAACTATCGAGAACTAACGAAGAACTAACGATTGGTATATAAATGTAAGCATTTTTATTCAAAAAAGTGTGCCCGCTGCAAATTCTATAATTGTGAAGTTGGCGTACCCACTTTGTATGCCTCGTAACTTTTTTATTTTTTGAGAACTAACGTTAATATTGGAGAACTATCGAGAACTAACGAAGAACTAACGATTGATATATAGATGTAAACATTTCTCATCAGGAAACGGCGTGCGCTAGAACCCGGAAGTGTGAAGTTAGCGTACCCACTTATTATCGGCTATAACTTTTTTATTTTTTGAGAACTAACGACAAAATTTGGGAACTATCGAGAACTAACGATGAACTAACGATTGGAATGATCAAAAGTGTATACGCTAATATGGGTACGCCAACTTCACGGACCTCACGCGGAGCCGTAGAGTGGCAAAAAGCCGCGGCTATAACATGGGAGAGATAGGGAAAAACGCGACGCGCGCTGTTTCGAATTAAAATTGTCGCTAAACTAAAACACCTGTGTTATTCACCGATGGCATTCTTAAAGTAAATTAAATTTCCTATCGAACGGTGTCAACCATTTCTATAAAAACTATTGTTTATTATTTATTACTGAAGATAAAATTTGAAAGAATTGGCCTGGACTTTGAACATATCATTACTTTAATAAAGTTTTTGAAAAAAATATGATGTATCTATACAAATTAACAATTTATTCGTATTCCTTAATAGTTTCGCGAAATAAAACATATATATTTACCTATATTTAAGAGTGGTATTTAGAAAAATAATTACAATAAATCTTTTTTTTATTTTTTCCAGTTTATAAAACAATCTTACTAATTATAGGTTAAAATGAAAAATTTTATTCGGGTGGTGAAATACATTTTAAATTTGCATTTTTCATGGTTATCTCGATTTGTTAATACCATGTTTTACTAGTTTTAAGAGATTTATGTGCTAGGCAGGTGATTTTAAATAGCTAAAGTTAAGAAAAAATGTAAAGCAGCTCTAACTTTTTTTTACACCAACAGCCGTTACAATTAAATTACAAACATAAAATGTAAAACAATTTCTTGGCAATCAAATTCTAGATTTTTTAATATCATATTGAACTATATTTGATCTGTTTGCCCAAATAAACTTCAAGTAAATAGTGTAAAATGTTCAACAATCATCGCGTCTTCTGACGCCAAAGTGCGTTTATCATTCTTTTAAAGGATTTAAACTTATTTTATATTCTAATATTATGGTTAGAATTTAAGTTTTTAATTTTCGTAGCATGATGTAGTCTAAGTTTTAAATAGTTAATTGATATTTCTGTTACCAAATCTCCCACTCCCAGTAACCCATACAACGCAGTATGAGAGGGGGAGCGGGAGAGTAGCGCTACCTCTCCCCCTCCCCAGTACGCTGGCTTCAACGAAACTACAGCGTGTCCTCTCCTTAATGTTTAATCCTCCTAGGTGTGTCTGGATGTGTACAGAGCTAGGGACTACACCTGTGGTTCGATTTCGATGAAATTTGGTATGTAGGTTCTAATCCATGGTATCTCCAGGCGTTTTTTTTCATTTTTTTGAAATTTTGATTTTTAATGTGGATTTTCCCATAAATAGCCGTAAAAAACCGGAAAATCGGATTTTCTCGAAAATGGCCCGAACGATTTTGATAAAAATGTAGTATGTTGTAGCCCTTTAAATTCTGAACAAAATTCCATTTCTGTAAAAATTACGGTTCAAAAGTTATGGTAAATTATGTTATTTTCCCATAAAAACCCCATTAAATAACGAAAAATAGGATTTTAGAAAAAATCCGGTTTTATTTTAACATAGTATGATATGGTCCTTAAAATGTTGATAGTTTTTTCATTTTAAATTTTTTTTAATTTTTAATGGGAATTTTCCCATAAAACCCCATAAAATAACGGAAAAATAGGATTTTCTCAAAAACGGCCCGAACGATTTTGATAAAAATTTTGTATGTTATAGTTCTTTATATTCTGAACAAAATGGTACAATTGCCATTTCTGTAAAAATTATGGTTCAAAAGTTATTGTAAATTATGTTATTTTCCCATAAAACCCCATAAAATAACGGAAAAATCCGATTTTCACAAAAATGGCCCAAAGATTTTGATAAAAATGTAGTATGTAGTCCTTTAAATTGTGAAAAAAATTGTATAAATCCCATTTCCGTATATTTACTCTCACCGCTTACACATGATAAGGGTTGTTGACAAACTTATGGGAGAAAGTATGTGTCAGAATGCTGATACCGTTTATTGGTAATTATAACGATCACGGACGTCTCGCTAAAATTATATTTGTCACTATTCTTATGCTAAATAACGTCCTGAATTAAAAAATGATTGTCATTTTCCCGGAAAAGCACCGTTTTATTTACGGAGTTTATTTAAGAAATACATTTTTGTTTTAAGTTCAATGGTCATGAATAATTATCTACATGTTTTTTTCGGGTAAAATTACAATATAAAATATAGGCTACGTTGAGATTTTTAAAAACTTCCCTTATTAGATTGACTTAATAGATTACTCTGCTGAACGCCAGCCACAATAGCCAGCATAAGTCAAAATGTGTTTACATTTGTTTAAATAAATAACACCTTTGTAATTTTTATTCGCCTATTTTATATTTATTAATTTGCCTTTTGGCTGTACTTTCATAAGCGGCACAAATGAAGGTATGCTATCGGTTATGTTAGGTTGGGTTATTGATAAATTACTAGCGCTTTCATTTGTGCCGCTTATGAAAGTGCAACCTGTTTTTTCAAGCTTTCGTTCTGTGTTCATTGTCCAGTTTATTTTTCCGATACTTTTGGTCCGATACCACAGAAAACCTACTACTATAACCCAGAATGCCAACCGCATGGTAAAAAGCATTAAGTGTTTTGAGAGAGCTATGCCTGTCAATCGTAGGCAGCGCCACCAGCGTTGCTATGCTGAGTGCATGGCAACGCTGGTGGCCATGCCTACGATTGACAGGCAAAGCTCACTCAAAACACTTGATGCTTTTTACCATGCGGTTGGCATTCTGGGTATAGTAATATGTTTTCTGTGCCGATACTGAGATGGTATCGATACCACACTTCCGATACCATATCGATACCAACTATCGTATCGAAAGCGGTATCAGAACGTCCCTAACCACATCTATTAAAAGAGGAAATAAAGGAGAGTAGAGATGGTCAGCATGATGGGGTGCATGGAAACTTGTAATCACCACTTTTTAGCATGAATAAAAAAAATTTAAACTGAAATTTAACAGAACTAAAGAGAATTACCCCAGTAGTCTCAAAAAGGATTAGAAAAAAATCAATGTGCATGACCTATAGGAGTTATAGTATAAAGTCTTCAACTGTCATAAAGAGTTTGTAGAATAATAAGGGAAGAGCTGGGGTACACCTCTATTACTTACAAGAAGATGGTTTGGTTAGCCTACATTTAGATGCATGTAGCATTTTATCTTATATGCTAAAAAACTTTTGCAAAACTTATGACAGCTAGCCTGGCCATACTACTGGACCGAATTACACGCAGTTGGTAAAAAATGAAAGATATTTTCCTGTAGATGTGCAGAATCCCTTTATAAATTTACTGTAGGCCCAAAAATAAGCACAACAAATGAATTTGAAATTAAAAACAAATTTGAAAGGGTCTTATATTGGTTGCCATGCTGGTGACAAAATAACAACAAAATATAAACAGAAAATCAAAACAAATGGAAGAAATTCCAATCACATGTTTTATTTACAGCGTGGGGTGAAAATAGAGAAGTTTGTACAATACATACTTTTGGTCGAGTTTTCGATCACGGGGCGAGCTCTCGTTTAATCTATTTTTATTTAATCTGAAATAAATATGTCAACCGCACCTTACAAACTAATTTTGTATTTATTCTTTCTTCCATGACAAATTAACAATGACTCTACCTAATTAATTAATTTTATATTAATAATTTACAACCAAGTATTTATTGAAATGAAAGCAAGAATTCAGTTGATTGAATGATAACAGTGCATTTAAGGTTGTGGATACATTTAGCCAACTGTTTAACTGACGATCTTTCAGTTCCAGACAAAAATATTTTCTGCTTGATGGCTACGGTTAAAGTCAGCATCTGACATCTAAAAGTAATGTTTATCCCATTGTCAGCGTTCAACTACAAAATAACAGATGTTAGATTGGCTCCAGAAATTGTTCCGTTCAAATTTTCAAAGATTCAAAACAAAAAATAGTGTGATAATGTTATGTTGGTAACTATCTATAGAAATTTTCACGGGGAAGGCCCCGGACCTCCAAGATGTTCGTTAGACCTATATATTGCACTCCTCTTTTCCAAATCCTGCGGGCGCCCATGGTAGGGACTACATTTCCTTCTATACAGGCTAGTGATAATAAGTAATGGTATTCAAAAGTATATCTAAGACTAATATTTCCAATCTGTGAGCATTTCCCGCTGTAAAATTTTTTTAATACCTTAAAACAAACGATTCCTTCCACTGACCAACCAACCTTGCCCAAAAACCCATCTATTATATTACAACAAAAAGTCCAGTGTAAATAATTAATTGCAATACATTTAAACATGTTGCAATTTTCGCAATTCTATTGCCAAGCCGGTGTGTACATCTGTATTTGATCAAGAGACCAATTAACGATTCTGCAGTACACTATCACGTACATACATTACACGTTTCATCGCATTTCAATCGAACAACCATTTCTACCATTGTCCGTCATGATCACAGGATTGTTAGTTCACCTCTGTATAGTTGGTAATTATTTTAGAATTTATATATTCTGATAATGTTTATTTCTTTTAATAATTAATTGATTTCAATTTGCAACAGTTTAGCAATGTTTATGTGTGTTTGTTATCCAACATGATTTTTTTCTCTAGTAAAGATTATAATCTGTTTCAGTTTAAACGTGAAATCTGAGTTGTGATTACTATTCGAGAACAATATTTATTTCATGAATAATTGAAAATAAATGTTACCAATTTAAGTAGAGTAGTATGCACTTTTGTGATGATGTCTAGCTTACTGGAAAAAGTCCACTTTGGCACAAGAAGTACAAAATTTTGTACGTACACAAAAATTAGGATATGCTCTGAAAGCATTTTGACCCCTTGTTCCTTCATCCGAAAGAAGATTTAGTTGAAGAGAGGCAAATTTTTAAAAATACCCTAAAGCCATTGTGCTCTTTGTAACATATCCTTATCCTCTCATTTTTGTATTTGTTGTCAAAGCTGTTCATATTATCATGATTAACCAAACATACAAGAAGACTTCATAATCTCATTGTAAATTTTTAAGCTCGTTTTTCGTCTCCAGATTATGTCCGGTGGCACTCGATTGCTATTGTTGACAAAATTTTGTTTCTATTATTTCAGGGTTCATTTAATGATTTGTGATTTACTGTTTGGCTATATAACTAGGGGACAAGTTAATGTTTATGATTTTTATTTTTATTTGGTCTAGGTTTTCATTTACTTAAATAACAAGAAACAAATTGGTCGTGTATTGTTTACAATTTGTTTCATCTACAGTGCACCGGACAGAACTAACAATAAAATATTATGGCTTAAGCTGTTGTAGAAGGATGAGAAATTTACTAAGGAAGTATGTTTTATTTATGATATTATCCAGAATCTTTCTAGTAAAAAATGCATATTATTGAAACGAAAGAAATGTTATTGAAAAGAAAAACAAAAATAAAAAATAAACTTTATTTATTTACTTATTTTTTACTAATGATAATTTTTTAATGTGCAAAGTATTAATAAAGTATTAAAATAGTAAAATGCAACACTGAAGCAAACCTTTTATTTTATCCAATAACAGGCATTGTGAGGAGAAAATTGAGTTATGTTTTTATTTCTGTTTTTATTTTATTGTTTTCTCTTTTTATTTTATTGTTTTCTCTTTTTATTTTATTGTTTTCTCTTTTTATTTTATTGTTTTCTCTTTTTATTTTATTGTTTCCTAAATTGTTAATTTTTTTACAAAGTATATCCTTGTTCATATTTCACCGATACACATTTTTAAATGTCAATTCTCAGCTACAGATGAAAACCCACTGACTATAACACACGTCACCTTTTGGTGTGTTGACGTCATAGTCAATCAATTATCTGTTTTGCATCATTCCTTTTTACATCGCTCTAGAGCAATTATTAACCAACAACTTATTTTACATGAAAGTACAAAAAATACGTCAAATAACACGTGTAATAATATATTTACACTCATACTGTTTACTCACAAGACATATAGATATAAAAGATTGTAAGTGGGGATTGATTTTGATTGGCCACTCCATAATCATCAGACCCAATAGGGGAATCTATTACAACTAATTTTTTACACAAATTCTGGACAATATGCCTCAAACAATTTGTATTAACTTGACTGCTTTTAAAGCATACTTAGCTTATAAATTAAGTGTAATTAATAGCTTTACAGAAATTTTTTTCCAGGATACTTTGCTCATGGAATGCCAAAACCTCCAGATTCGTCAAACACACGGATAAGACTTTATAAGTAAGTTGTTTGATTAAAATACCAATAAGATGATAAACAAAAAATAAATATACAGTAACATCTGATTACATCCTTTACTGCTTAATTAATCAAATTATTGTTGTGATTACTTTTAGCAAATTTCACATGTAGGGAAAGAGAATTTAAGCTATAGTTCGGCCGCTTAGAAAGCGACCTCCTCCAGCATTGGTTTAGCATTAGCGCGCAGGTCGTTTTCTAAGCGGCCGAACTATAATACTGTAGGTCTCATGGTAAGATCTAAACCCGGGACCAATTTATTTTTTTGTTTTGATGTCCTCTGAGGTAAAAAACCACATCCGTTCAAATTCATATATACATGGTGTAAAAAAAAATATGGGAACATAATTTACTTTGATCCTTTGGTCAAAATAAGCAAAAAATGTTATCATAAACATTTTCTATCTCAGTCTCAACTCAGTGTTAAGCTTCTGTCTGTTTGTGTTTAAAAAAAATACATTTATAGCTTCTAATGGTTTGAGGTTCAGAACAAATGTTCACCTCCTCATCTTTGGTTGGACAAAAAATAATTGACAAGTTTATCTCTCTCCTGCTATACCTGCAGTTTACTCCATTAAAAAAATGTTTAAACTATGTAATTTTATGAAAACATCAATCAATGATGAAATCCCAATTTATTAGATTGGGTTTTCAAAACAGAAACAAACATAGAATACTGGAAACATTAAGTGTAAAATGCACACTTGATGAATGCCATACAAAGACATAGATCTAATTGAAAACTTTTTGTCTGTACAGTGTTATTTTTTTGTCCTAGGCTCAGCTTGGGGTTGTTTTTGCCATAATTCAGGCTTTAATATGCTTAGGGGTCGCAGCATTATCACTTAAATGAAACCTATTGGTGATTGGTGGGATTTCAACCTGGGACCTCAAGGACCAAAGTCCCGCTTGCTTCACTAGCTTGCTTCCCTGTCTGTAAAATGTGGGTAGCGCAGTGTAAAAATATTTGTTGTGACTTTTACAGAATCAATCACTAAACATTATATATTCTATTTCTAACAGTCTACTGTTTCCAGTTCTCACAAACAGTATTTGATGAGTGTCGATTGATTGTAGATTAGATGAAGCAAATAAGATGAGTTGGAGGGCAGAGGACTTGTCGGATGGGCTGCAACTATTTCATGATCAGTCATATAATCGTAACCAGCCGACAATGCTGATAGCACATGGATGGTTCCAACATGCCGAGGACCCCGTTGTTGTCGAGCTGATGGAATGTAGGTAGAGATTTAGCATACGAGTAATTGAGAAGGAAGGTGAACTTTGTCTTTTAAGATTTCAAGACAAAATTTAAGTTAAATACATTTCATGTTATACAAATTCTGAATCCGTATGGAATGACTGGTCGTTAAAAGAAATTATTTTGAGTTAGCGGAACACAAAAAATTATAGTACACATAATTCCAGATATAGTCGTTGCATGCAATTATTAGACTAAGACTTTGGATAGTTAATTAATTATTGTACGCAAGTGTACATTTTGTTGCAATTTGTTACGACAAATGTTATTGATGGTATTCATTTTTATTCAATCATTACATACCTTTTGAATAGTCAGTCTGTAGAATATTTTTAGCTGTTTAATTCAATATGATATTGTCCGATGAAAAAAAAATCAATTGAGCATATAGGTTTAGCGGATTACTCTTTCGATCGTAAAATGGTTTAGTTATCTGCATAAAGTAATCCTCGGTTGCTGTTGCGGCAACTAGTTTTAGTTTGTAGGTTGAACTATCTTGAGGCCTACAAAGAATGAAAAACTCTCTTAACTTGAAGATTGTCAACAAGGTCGGTGAGTCGTTGGCCAAGTCGGTTCGGCTCCTAGTACCTGCCACTACTTTTTATTAGTACAGTTCACCCTTGTACTGCACTGGCTCACCCCTTACTTTTCTGGATACACTCCATGTACATAGGACTTTGTGACCCATGTGGCAAACTCAAGGTAAAAGTGGATCGTCAACCTTTCTTTTTTAAACTTAGATAAAACCCAAGAGCAAACAAAGACCTAAGAGTCAAATTGATAGTTGCCACCACAGCTATTGAAGATTAATTTATAAAGGTATCTAAACCACTTTATAGAAAAAAATATAATGAATTCATTTTTTCAGCAATATTCAAGGTCAAGTTCTATGAAAAAATGAATATAATGGTTTTGGATTCACCGTATTTCATGGATTCTCCCGTTTCAAATGTGTTGTATTTAACAACATTACTTACCAAACTAGAGGTAATGTTGCTTCCATTCGTATAATGAATACAACATACATAGTTAAGTTACATAGTTACTGTTGTTGTTCTACAGTAAAACCTCAATAACTCAACACCTGGTTAACTCAGTGTAACTGGACAGTCAACAGCTGTCAGGGTGCATGAAAAACCCCCAGAAAATTTTGTTTAATTGTTGAATATTCCAAATTTCTTTGAATACTTATGTAAGTAATACCATGTAATACATTAACATGTAAAAATTAGTATGGTATGTATTCTCATTTATTAAAACCCATTACAAATTTCAATATTCCGGATAATCCGACAACCTCTGATTCCACAAGTTGTTGAGTTAGCAAGGTTTTACTAAATAGCAATAATTTAATATTACATATGATTCATTCATGTGCTAGGCTATATTATAATACTGTAGTCAAGTATAAAAATACTGATATGTGTTTTCGAATAATAGATATTTACTAATAATGGGTAGTCAATAGGTGATAATCTGAACTTATTTACATGTTTTGAAATTTTTTGTTTAATGTTGGAGAAGCAAATATCTTTTGGATGAATTAATACAAATTCCTAACAGTAATGATAAGAAAAATCACTAAAAAAGTTGTTTTAACAAACAAAAAAACAAAAGACCGGTGAGAGCTTTTCTACTGTCACCAAATAACTTATGTGACTAACAGCAATTGTCTTGAGTTTAGTCTGCACCTACCTAACGCATGAAACATAATTACACGCTTCAGCTTCCTCGATTACCAAATGTACCACCATGTAGGTTCATGATGGAAATAATATGTTTATTTGATAAACAACCAAATATCTGTAACATGACGTAATCAACAATAATTAGAAACGTAGAATGGATAGAATGAGAAAGTTTCACATGAAATCTCTATCAAACTATCTTACCAAACTGCCAAAATGATTGTTGCACCAGAATACATATTATTTTACAGTTCTATATTCTTCAAACTCGTTTTATATTCTTCAAAAACTTCTATTTCACTTGGAATTTAGATGCTTGGTGAATCCATCGCAGACATGTTCAATGGAGCAATCAAGGAAGGTCTGATTACAGCAGATCAAATCAACCTTGTCGGCCTGAGTTTGGGAGCTCAGCTGAGTGGATATGTAGGCCGAGCAGTGACAGGGAAGATTTACTCCATAGTAGGTACGTGATGTTGTGTTCATGGGTTCAATTTTACTTGCTTTCCTACAGGTAGCATAAAAGTGCTGGAAAGAGGGGTGCCCTCAGGAAATCTTTCAGGGGTGCGAACTAATGTATTTTTTCATCTACTGTGCTCTTTGGTCTAAAGAGCTGCCTTGAGGCCAGTTGGCCTAGTGGTGCAGAGCCATTCAATCAATCCGTCAGAGGTGATGAGTGATCGTTCACCAAGAGGTGGAACCTGGAATAAATCTTCTGATACAGCAAGGATCAGTACTTGCACTCCAGCACAAATGAAGTAGGGGACCGAGAAGGTTCGCCGAGGTCCACAACTCCAAGGTCATTGATCGTGGTAAGTGGTCAAACAGACGATTGGTGGGAGGGGACCTGGGGTCTCACGCGGCTGTTCGTCTTTGTGGTAAGATGTTCCATGGCACACAGATTGCTAGTGTGGTGGGCCAAGCAACTTGGCTGCTGTTTAAAGATTTGCTTGTCTCATCATCACTGGCTCAATGAGTTCCAGGAGCTTCATTGGACTGCCTTCTTGGCCTGATTTCAACATATTAGATGGTTTTGTCATTAAAATGTGTCACACAGTACTATTAATTTGAGTTGCATTTAAAAACACCCTGTATTTGATTAAACATTCAAACAAATTGAAATTATCTTAGCCTGCAGGTTTGCTATGTAGGTACATAGAGTTTATAATAGTAATAATCCAAAAATATAACAAAAATTAAATTTTTGAGGTTAATCGACCCAATTATAATTTGAAAATTAAAATACCATTGGTTCAAACGCTATTTTACAGGACTTGACCCAGCTGGTCCAGGTTTTGACTCACGGTTTCAAAACTGGACGAAGCTGCAGCACGTGAGCAAGTCAGACGCTCAGTTTGTTCACTTGTACCACACAAACTCTGTTACCTTCGGAACAAACCAGAGACTAGGGACAGCAGACTTTGAGTTTAACGAGGGTTTTAGTCAGCCTGGATGCGCAATGTCTATCGGTGAGTGTTTACACGTGTGTATCATCCGCCAACGTATATTTTAGGGATGGACGAGATTGGATTTTTAGTTCGAGACGAGACGAGATTTTTTATTTCTCATAAAATTTCGAGACAAAATCAAAACGGGATTTCTCTTCTCATACACAACGGGAAATGCACGTTCAAAATTTTTACCTGATTTTGTAACATTGTTAGATGACTGTTTAAATACAAAAATAATGATAATAGGCAAGAATATTTACAATCTTTTATTAAAAAAACATCAGCATAACATTTTTTTATTAATCACGCCTAACTTATTAAAAATGCCTACGATTAGGAAACATAGTGATATCAGTTAGTATAGAGTTCAACTTGTCCTAAAATCAAATAAATCATAAAATAAAAGCAATATTATTTTTTATAAAATAGTTACTTGTTTTGACTTTTTATAGTAATTAAACATTCCTCACACTGCTTACACTCAACAAAACTTCTCAAATGTTATTAAAGTAATATTATTAAAATAATTAAAGTAATATTTACATTTAAAGAATTAATTAAATAAGAACGCCTTCGCAAAGGAAACGCAACTACAACACGCTCCTGTATTGCGGGTATTGCATTGACTTTCTGCAGGCGTTTTATTTCTCGTCTTGATAAAAATCTCGGCCAAAAAGAAATCTCGTCTCGTGTAGAAACGAGATTTAAAATTTCCCGAAATTTCGAGACTTCCTTTTGAGACCATCCCTAGTATATTTGTGTACAGCGTGTTTGAGAAGTCCCTTAATATATTTTTAACCTTTATACGTAAAACAGTATTGACGTACCTACGCAAAAATTGATATTCATATTGATACTCATAAAAATCCACTTTTTTAAAAATTTAAACACTCAATAAGTAGAAAACAAAGTTGCACACTCGGCCTCTAGTCTAAAAGGTTGAGTTTTTCCTAAGTTGTAAAATTCCAAAATCAGCTGTTTTTTTTTATTGGTATAACCCTATTATTGGATACTGAAGTAGACATCCCATCAATGAAATGAAATGTCGCCTATTTTGTATTAAAAAAGAACTTAGTTGTATGAACCAGTCACAGAATGTGTCCGTGTCTAAGTTCAATTTTCTACCTTATTTTTTGTTGCTGACTAAGTTGATGCGAACAGTTGCTATAGCTCACAAGTTTAAATTGATAAAAATTTTTGTGTATGCGGCAGAAATTCAAATTAGCAACTTAGATCAGCACTATCTGTTTGGTGGCTCACATCAACTATGGCCATTTAGATACAAAAAAATAGTGACAATTTTAACATGGGGATGTCTAGTTGTATTAATAGTCAAAGGTATAACTTAAGAACTTTAAAACTTAATTTTTCTGGTCATTTATAACTAATTGCTTGTTCTAGATCCGAAATGCAGTCACAAAAGAGCATTCTTCATTTTCATTGATATCATTCTTGGAGACAACAAACTAAAAGCTCTCAAGTGTGGGACGCAAGCAGATTTTAAGGAATGCAAATGCAGAGGACAACCTGAAGTTATCCTCAAGTATCCAGTTGATACCAGGTATAGCGAAAATTTAAAGTTTAGGCCCAGGTCTACCACCAAATTACATTCCCTTGCTTATTTACTGCAGTGGCTTTTGGCAAGGTGGTACTTTGCCTTACCAACACAACAAGATACAATATTTTTGTTAAATAATGTTGTTATCACTCAGTACAGAAAGTAGCTATTTTTTTAAGAAGCTGATATCAAAGACAGTTATCATTGTCCCCCAAGCTCTAATTTAGAGCAAGAAAAAAACAATCAGCTGATTTTCCCTTGCTCTCAATCAGTTCTCACACTCCAGTTTGCCAACTAAGTGTGTGTGTTTGTTTACAATTCCTTTCATAAAATCAGCTGTTTATTGTTCAACAATACAAATGTGAACAGAAAAATCAGCGAACACATAACAAAATAGAAGCGCTACTCGGAGCGCAGGAGCGTGGCAGTCTTACTAGCCTGCGAAACGGACAAAGATGGCGGCGCTAACCTACCTGTCGGGGAAATAAATATGTGCACTCGAGTTTGAGCCTAAATATCTCAGAGATGAATAATCTAATTTTGTTGAAACAAAAATTAAATATAAGCTCGTTTAAATAAAATTTACGTGGTAGCAATAAAAAAAAATCCGTTTAGCATAAAAATGTATATTGTTGAAAGATCCTAAAAAGTACCGGGTTTTAAGAAACTCTGCAATAACACTGAAGTTTAAAATTTAATTGTAAACAAACCACTGAGCCAATCGGCCTGCCAGTTGCGGGAGAAATTTTTTTTTACAAATATATATCTGTTTAAAAAACACCTTTGTTCGCATTATTAATCTGTCATATTGGTGTTATTTTTTGTGTCACGACAAACACGATGGTATTTTGAACGAAATTTTTAGCGTCTTATTAACGATGTTAGCATACGTTTTAAAAATAAACATCAGCATAAAAACTATCGTGAGTAAGAATTTTAAAATGCATGGAACTGTTAACAATAAATCTACCAATAAGCCATACAAATTTAAGAAAGATTGGCTTAGTGGTTTGTTTAGAATTAAGTTTTAAACTTCAGTGTTAGTGCAGAGTTTCTTAAAACCGGTACTTTTTAGAATCTTTCAATTATAAAAATTTTTCTGGTAAACGGAAATTTTTTTAATTGTTACCATGTAAAATGTATTTAAACCAGTTTACATTTAATTTTTGTCTCAACAAAATCGGATAATTAATCTCAAGAGATATTTAGGCTCAAACTCAAGCACATATTTATTTCCCCGACAGTAGTCCCGGCGTGTGCAGCGCGCTAGTCGTCTGCTATGCTTGATGAGAATAGTGTAGATATAAAGTTAATGATATTAGTGTAAAGGAAAACCATGTAATTGAGGACTTGACGAACAAAGTACTTGGACAATGTGTAGGAGTAAATTTGTTTCCAAATAGTACATATTTCTCAGGATATAAAACAATATGGACAAAAATCAGTTTTGTTTAGTACCTAATTAAAATTATTGCTCAAAAATATTTCAATGTTAGAGTTCGCTACTACTGTAAAATAAGTAACAAAAGTCTTCACAAAAATAAAATCAGGCAACATCTCAATAAAAATTTTAACACTCGATAAAATTTTTCTGGGACAATAAATTGAGTGTAATTTTACAAATATATTTGGGAAGTTTAATTTAACTTACAGAATTATCTTTAGTTTATCTTGGATGATATTGAAAGCTAATTAATCCTTAAAAAGTTGTGCTAAACGGTTGAAAATTCTACATAGACAGTATGATTGAAAATTTCTTAAAAAAAATATACAATATTACAGTACAACAGTATAAAACATTACTGCACGCTAAATGTATAGACGACGGCCCGGCGGCGCAGCGGCAATGGATCTCTTTTGTACCTGATTTTTTTGAAAACCGAACATGATAAAGATTTTCGGTGAATCTGATAGTTAAATTTGGTTATTTATCGACAACTTTCCCGCTGACGAAATCTCTCTGACCAAAAAATAAAAAATTTCCTCGCAATACAACTTTTTCATGTCTGAATCTGAAAAATTAAACTACATAAGTATTAAACATATTTATAACTCAATTACTATCATAACTAATAATTTTATATTAACACCATCGTTTTCCTCAGTATCATATCTAAAAGTGTGCAAAATTTCAGAATTTTTTGACAACTATTAATGTTGTTTATAATCGTGTATTTGTCGCGGGGTTTTTAATGCGAAGTGAGCTCGCGGGTCTTGGATTCAGGCTGTATGACGGACCAAGATGGCGGATTTGGCCACACTTTCAGTGCATTTGGTTAAACGCCGTGTCCTCTCTATTATTATTATTATTATTATGTGCTCGCTGAGAAAAATGCATTAGCTAGTTTTGCTGTGTTTTAGCTTGTATTGTGTGTTTACTAAACAATGAACATAACCTTGAACTAGAACTTATAATTTTCACTGTTATGTAGGTTTGCTATTGCCTTTATTTGAATACTAAAAAAGTTTAATTAGGAAATATAATAGTTTTAATTTTACTAAGGTCTGTTATTTGTATATGAGTATTCTAGCTGATGAAAAGTATCATTCATAACCTGTACTCATTGGCTTTGCACGCAAAAATAACTCTCACATGCTCGGCTTCTTCTCTGTGCAATTTGGTATTCCTGTGTTCAGCTTTGCCTCACACATGAAACTAAGCTAGCCCTGGAAAATGCCACAGTTAGTACCGGTACTGGTAATAAAATATTACTATTCCTAGTATTGATTTTTTACAGAGCGGAAGGTACATACTATTTGAGAACAGCGCCAGAAGCTCCTTTTGGTCTAGGAAAGCCAGGTGTATCATGTTGGGGCCACCATCTTGAAGAGTTGGAAAAACAAGAAATGGACGAATCCCCTTTAACGAAGACGATACAGGCGTTACAAATGATAACGGAAACGATAAGGAAAACGTGGAACTCCGAATAACCGTTGATAGTAATTTTTAGTCATAAAAAATCCCAAAATTAGTAAACAACAATAAAAGATGGTTTCAAAAAATATTTTTTGGTACACAGAGAACCTTTTGCTGATTTCTTGTTAAGCTGGGTTTTCCTAGACGCGGAGTCGGCCAGCGGAGAGCGGACAACGGAGAGCGGAATTGAAATTAACATGGCATTCCGCTCCGCTGCTAGGAAAACAGTAACATTAAATTACCTAAGACAAGCTGAGTCCGCTCTCCGTTGTCCGCTCTCCGCTGGCCGACTCCGCGTCTAGGAAAACCCAGCTTTAGGAAAGTTCTGTTCCAAACATGAGTGTAGCAAATATATCCTAACAGTGTATTATTTTCACATACACTATTATTATTTATTACGATCTCACATACATTTCCATAAATCTAATCTCAATTGTCAGTTCTTATGATAGCCACGCACGAACTACCAGTTATTTTGCTTCTCTGTATTTAGATGAATGATAGGCTATAACATGTAATGCAGTTTTTATTAATAAAATTCATAAATTTGAATTAACTTATTTTCCACAGTCCGTACGAAAAGTAGCAATATTCTATAATAACAGCTATTATCAGTGAAAATAACTGTTTCCTTAGCTCTTATAATCAGCTGATTTTCTCTTCCTCTAAATTTACTTTCCCTTGCTCTCAATGCAGTTGCCAGTTGCCTCTATGCACTAGCGTTTCCTTGCAATTTTCATAATTTTTTTTTCATAATTCAAACCAGCTGAATTGGTTTTGGGGTCATCAACAGATGATTTAATATCACTCAAATAAACCACAGAAGAGCTACTAACTTTTTATACTGTACTACTATCCAAACAACTCAGGTTATAAAAATCTAATTACAAAGGAAAAGATATATAAAGACAGATTTACAAAACCTCAAATAAGATTTTAACTGAGTTGTACAACTTTCTCTACTCGACTTGGCCCACAAACAAATATGATGATTTTACTACAAAACCTCAAATCAGATTTCAACTTATAAGTTTACTTTCTCAACTTGACCCAAACTATTGTTTTCCATTCCGATTCAAACTTAGTAACAAGCACAGGAAAAGGATGAAATAAAAGTCTCGTCAGCATGGCTAGCTGTATATTATTGTTGTCACCTCGAAACCAAGCAGTACAGAACCTCTAAACAGTGCGATTATGTCTCAAAAATATTCTCTTTCCCTCACAACTTAAAACTCTTCAAAGTTACACTTTATAAAAAACTGTCAGGGCTAACTATGCAGTGCGTAATCAATGTATACACAAGCTATACAATGTATTTATACACAGATTGTGTTCTTAGTTCCGCCAGTCCACAAACACAGAACAGAGTGTGATCTGCTGAAAGAATTCAAGTTTAGAGCCCTGAAATGATAACTTTGAGTTAAGTTTGAAAGGCAATTTAAGTTGAATGATAAATAAAAAAATATGATAGACAAATGAGAGAGAGGACACTGGACTGGACAGAACTAAGACATTGTCAAGTCCAGACTGCACACAAGCGTGTCAAGCCAGAGCTTTTGACAGTGTTAAGTGTTCTGTAACTGTGCTACAAGCTTTTAAAAAGTTATTTTATTTTAATGATGTTAAAATCTCAAATTAAATATAAAACAAGTTTCAGGCGATTATAAATTATGTTCAAGCTCAGTGGGCGATAGTAACACCACAATTATTCCCGATCGAGAATGATAATTAATTATAAACAATAAAAAAAGTAACAATCTAATAATAAGATCACACTAGGATGTTCGGTCGCCTGACCAACTAAATATGTTAAATAAATTAATCTATTAATCTAAATCTGTACATCACCGCTGCACATTGATGCAGAAAGGTAAGAGAATTCATCTTGCACCAAAATATATTTTCCATCTTCGCATGCGATCTCACCGAAAATAGAAAAGAATGCCTTCTACAAACTTGCAGTTGAGCAGTCACCTCTTTGCTATTATGTTGATCAAATGTAAAAATCTTAGAAAATAATTCACAGGAAAGAGTATCTATATGTATTTACTTTGATTTTAATACCGTATGGCATAAGTGAAGAGCTGGGACTTACATTAGTACTTGGATGCCCCAAGTCTGTACTCCCAGCAACTTAACTGTACCAACACAGGCGAGACGAGGCTCGGAAATCAATCCAACATTTAATATATGTATATAAAATGTATAAATAACATGTAAAACTCAATTAAAAAATATTTCAAATCGTAAAACAATCTAATTGTTTGTCTGATGATTTGCAACTATAATAATAATATAATATTATGCAAGATATTTTTTATGCAGCTTCTACAAACATGTTAAGTATCACTAATAACAAAACAAATATAAAATCTGTCATGCAAATAAATATTACACACATTAAATACAACAGGTTAAAATTGGAACAGATGTAAACAAAAGTATAACTGCATTTGACTTACACTATTAGACAAGCAGGTACTATTAAATCTTTACGAATAAATTAACAACATTTAATGTTCGTTCGACCAGAGAAAATGCAGTAGCTTAGCTAAGTCTATAAATTACAATCATTTCATTGCAAACTACAGAAAGGCATTAAGTGCTGAAGAAAGACAAAGTTAAATGTCTAAGGAAATATAAGCTAGGCTTAATTAGTTAAGCTCGTATATACAAATCTGTTATTGCACTGATACCCAACGAAGGCATTCTTTTCTCGAATTTTAAAATTGTTTACGGCGCAAACAAAAATAAATAGTAATGCCGTCGGATCAATCTATAAATTCGTAAGACATCTTTGGTCGACGACACGTTTTAGGAGGAAAGTCGAAGCTCTCGCACACACTCGTTCGCTCACACACGGATTTTCACACACACTCACACAAGCTTCTACTTATATAACTATATATTGGAATTATTTTTTAATCAGTACTGCCAAAATGAGATAAACGACGTTGCACCCCAAACCAAAGAGCACCGAACAAAGGAAAATAAACTATAATGGGGCGGTCAGTGTGGTGAATCAGCGCATTTCTCCGACTAGGCAGACCTCTCAGCTTTCATCTGAAACATCACACACAACACACTTAGTAAACTTCTAACCACCTAATATATGACAAATTAAAATTTATATATTTGGATAGTAACTCATAAAATAGGAGAAACACTCATTTACCGTAGTTTAATGTTTTATAAATATAGTGGAACTCCAATTATTCAAACTTCAACTATTTGAACCGATCGCTATCTAACTACCTGATTATCCGAATTGCTTACAGAAAGAATAAAAAAAATTAAACTACATTAATAAGAGTCGTTATTTAAGAAGGCAGAAGCTGTGATCGCAGCAAAATCCTTAACATCTCCCGCAGTCTTGTAGACATCATCATCTCTCGTGGTCACGGCAACATCATGCTGTATTTATTCTTGATACAGAAATCACGTAAACAACCGTCTTCTGCGTTCGTAGCAAACTTTTGATCATTTTTTGTGGTCTTGTAGACATTAGCATAGTTTTCCACTGTCAAGGGAAATCACTATTGTCTCCTGCGGTCACAAAAACATCAGAACCCTCGGCAATCATGGCGAAAGAGTGGATGATTTTCCAAAGGAGAAATCTTTGCATCTTACATGCGTAAAATTACCAAACATTTGGATTAAAATCTAATTATCTGAACTTTTGACTATCCAAATGTGGTACTGACTCAATCAATTCAGATAAATTGAGTTCCGCTGTAATCTTTCATTATAAATTTTTGAAACAATTAAATATTTTTTAAATATTGCTGAGACTCAAGAATTACCTGTGCATAATTATTATAGGGGTGTGCGAATAGTGATTTTCAACCTCGAGCCGAGCCGAGCTTTTTAAAAAATGTTCGAGCTCGAGCTTTTTCGAGCCGAGCTTTTCCTAGCGTAACCTTATCTTAATTATTAAACTTTTTTTCTTAAAAAGGTGCATAATAATAATAATGTTCAGTCAATTTTTAAATAAACACAATGTTATTTTAATATGTTTAAAAACATTGAGAATTGTCAAGACATCAAATAGTAGATAATCACGATAAGAACTGAACTGAACTAAATGAAGATGCAAGAAATAAAAGGATATCGATTGAAGGCCTGAAGAGATATGCAGTGCAGACTGAGACAATCAGATTGTCATAACAGAACATTAACGCGACCTTGAATGACGACAAAACAACTAGTAAGTCGATTACATATGTATATTGTAACTACTATGAATATTTAATTCTATTTTGTATAAATAAATACAAAATAAATTTAAAAACACGTGATTATTCTTGTTGTTTTCCATGCACAAAATATTTTTGTTTTATGAATCCTATTAATCAAAAAAGAACATGGTTGGTTTGGATCCAAAAAGGTGGAGAGACAAGTTTTACTTATATATTAAAAATATATAATTGACATATAGAGGAAATAGACCAAAGCACTAGAATTAATAGAATAACACACAAAGTAAACAAGAAATGAAATGCAGAACACGATGATTTAACACTGTCACTCAATTTTGTTATCTAGAAGGGTGGGCGAACTAATCAATAAATAGCCAAAACCAGTTTCCTCCCCTTCACACAGTCTCACCGCCCCCCTCCCCCCAATCCGGGTGGCCCAACACTTTGTCCTTGAAACACCCTTGCGTCTGAAACAATAAACCCTTACACCCTCGTTGCTGTTTTGACAACAGGTTTATGAATGAGATCACTATTTTTCATTTCCAGAATTAACTATCAATTATTATTTGCAAGATACAAATAGGAAACTACATCACATTATGGTATTCAATGACCCATGTACTATCAAAAATTAATAACTCATTACTTATTTTGATAATAAAAAGCACTCATTACAGCACGCGCCACTTATTGATATATATATAGATATATAAAATCCTCAAAGTAACTGTTACTTTATACAAAATAAAATAGGTACAAAATTGTGTGGCCAGTCAAACTTTATAAACAAACATTTTATTCTATAAAATACAGATGGTAAATAGGAGTTGGTTTAAAGGAAATAAAATACAAAACATATTAATTAATTATTTTGATAAACATTAGAAAGGTTATGGGATTGATTGAACTAAAATAACCGCAGGGAAACTTATAAGTAGAAAAGTCGTCAACCACAATCTGTTTAATCAGTACATTGTTAGAGAGAGAGAGAAAGAGAGATAGCAGATAGGGGCGTTTGATAAGGAATCTGAAAAAGTAAACAAACAAGGAACAACGACACGACGATACTCGTTTACAGCCTTATTGTCTCGCCCACTACATTTGCACACGTGACCACTTTTTGTTTCTTCCTTATCTTTCATCCGTCCCAAAATAGAATTCCTGAAATAGTTTGTTGGTATAATCTCCCCTCGCACACAAGGCGCAGTGCTCAGTGCGCACTGTAGGTTGCCATGGCAACCGTGTGTCGTCATAGCGACTTAGCCAATCACGCACTCGCACTGCGTTGTATATTACGATACGAATAGTTGTGTTAGAAAGACAACGCGATAGGTGGTAGTTTCCTCAAAATTACGATCGATAATCATTGCGTCTTGACTGAGCTGAGGTTCGTGCTTATCAAGACACAATTATGAAACGGAGGAGAGTAAATTTAAATGAAAGTTAGTTCCTTATTTATTAATTTAATTTTTATTTGCTAGTTCAATAAGTATTCGGCTCGAACATTTCGAACTTTTTGAAAATCACGAGCCGAGCCGAATAGCGTCCTATTCGGCTCGAAAAAGCTCGATGTTCGAATACTCGCACACCCCTAATACAAAGGGTAAAAATTATTTAGTTAAAGAAAAACCAAGACTTGAACTTTTTAAAAATAAACCTTCTTATATTGGAAACTATTTTTTAGAAAGCTTCCTAGCTTTTTAAGAAACGAAAAAGACAAATCTAAATTTATGGAGAAACTGAAGGCATTCTTATTGACCTTGCACCGTACAAAATAGAAGATTATAGTAATTTCAATTTTAAATAATGTTGCCTATAGTATTTTGTTTAACTGTTTCTTATTGCTAATTTAGGTAGTAAGTAACAATACACACTATTCATGTATGAAAATTTGTACTGTGTGAATAAAGACTCTTTAAATCTTGAATCATAACAACACAAAACTATAACACCAATCAAGGCAACACTAAATAAACAGGCCGTAATGCTCATCTGGCATGACGTCATCATAGGCGACGGCGATGACTTGATGTTATTTTTTTTGTTATATTTTTGTTTTCCATGAAAATATTAAAACGAGCAGCTGATCACAAACGGCAAACATTGCGTCATTGCCGTCGCCTATGATGATGTCATGCCAGAGGAGCTAAGGCCTGTTTATTTAGTGTGCCTTGCACCAACTGTCTGTTTTAAGGAAGATGCATCTCTCTTCATTGTTAGGTTTAAGTTGTTTTAAATCTTCTAAAACTTATTTAAACAGAGATTAATTGATTCTAATAAACATTTTTTTCATTTTTATAAGAATTATAAAACCTCCAATAAAATTTGTCTAAAAAATCCTACAAATAGTTTGCAAAGAATTAAAAGAATGTTTTTTGAATATTGTAGTTAGTTAAAACATTCTTTGATTGATATCATCCAATTGATTATACTTAAAACATCCCCAAACTAAATCTACTAAGGCTAATTTTAACTTTACAAAAACCTTTAATTAATGTTACTTCTCCTGTAAACTAACTATTCTATACAGATTCAAATGAACTTATAAATTTGTTTTAATTTTTAAGTGAATAATTAATAAACTGCTTATTTTGAACTACTTAAAATTATTGAAAATGAAAAAGTTGATAATATAGATATATTTTATTATATTACATGGTAAATTATTTACAGACTATCTGGATTAAGAAGCAGGAAATTTGGAAATGTGCTTGAATGGAGAGTTTTGACAGCCAAAGCAACTTTATCAGAACGTTTCCTCAAAATGCATTACATCTGGCCAATCTGACAGTAGAAGTAATTCATCTGGTAAAACAAAAAAAGTAAAAAACAAACATGTTGATTTTGGGGCTTATCTTATACAAGTGTATGTTCAAAATCTAACTAAAAATACCCCCGCCGCAGCAAACCTGCCGTCTAAGCGAATTTCCATTTGGCTGAATTGATTTTCAATTGATCTATTTAAATAACATTAGGTTTAACGAGTACCTAGGTTTGCTGCTACAAGGAAACTAATAAATAGTGTGTTTTAAGTAAAATAATTATTGCTTAGTATAAAATGAATATATTTGCCAAGTTTGATCAAAAGATATCCATAAACAAGCAAACTACAACATTTTACAATATTCTCCATAAGAATAACATGGGAATTTTAAATTTAATTTTTTTTTAGTTTTCTTCGTAACCAATAACCGTACAAAAACACTATGATATACTGAATTGTTTGTTTTTTTAAGCTCTTTAAGAAGGTTTAGAGAAAAATTGGAAAATTTTGTGTTTTGAGGGTCAAAAGTGAGAAAAACCAATTTTTACCCCATAAAACCCCCCATAAAATCCTGTTCCCATGGTCCGATCATGCTGGATCGCGAACTCATTCAAGTTTATCCCGCCTTACACCTTCAAACCAAATTTCATCAAAATCGGATAAAAATTACTCAAGTTATCGTGTTCACGGACACATATATATATAAATCTATATATATATATATATATATATACATATATAAAAATTTGAACGAATGGTGTTTCTGGCCTCTGGGGACATCAAAATGAAAAAGTAAATCGGTCCCGGGCCTAAGTCTTACCATGAGACCTACGGTAATAGCTACTTCCCTATAGGGAAATTCGCTAAAAATACCACAGCTACAGTAAACCTGCAGAAACAAATTTCTATTTACTTTAAATATTTTATTAGATTGAGTAAAACTTGTGTCGTTTTATACATATTTGAAGGAATTTCCCAAAAGGCAAGTTAACAGCTCAACACTATAAGCTAAATCAATGGGTTGATAAAAGTTTAAAGTAGTATCTTTGCATGTACTGACCCTTGTTGCCTCCTCCGCCCATGATGCTCTTGCGTTTGGGAGTGTCGTCGTCCATAATGCGGCCAGGGCTCATCACTACTGGCCTCACCCCACTCTGCAGGTGCTGCTGGCCTGCTCTGATTGGCTTGGCTAAACACAAATACACAGTTGTAGACAGACTACAATCACAAATACATAATACAATCAGTAGTTCACAATATGCTGTACAAATGCTGGGAATAAAAAGTACCATTCACTTGACCACAAAAGTTAGATATGTCAAAACATCAATGTGGATTTGTCTTATTTTCATTCTGATTCTTTGTGTCTGTTCTCTATTTTGATCAAACACTTCCTTTGCGTTGAAATAGCAATGTGCTTATCTTACCAGGTGCAAAGTTATACATTTTATTATGTCTGGACAAAACTCTAAATGAACAAATTATACAATTGCAAGAATGAAAAACCTTCAAGTTAAAAATAAATTAAATATTGACTAACAGCTTTACTGCTATGTGTATGAATAAGAACTCGTACAACTGTGATAACCTTCCTAACATTATAGTGGATTGAACTTTGCTTATAAGCCTGATGTGGACTAACTGTATGTCAGTGTACTCCAAAATAGAGAAATGTATAAGAAATTCGCTTATATTCTCCTAACATAATAAAGTTTGATAAAAACTTCAATAATTTGAAACTTCTCAAAACTGTCAATGATTCCCAATCCACCCCACTAAAACTAGCTACAAGAAATTAGTTTTCAACATACATCCTTCATATTCATTTTAATTTTTTTCAACACGAGAAACACTTTAAGCATACACAACTTCATGCAAGTCATAACATACCGATTTGTGCACTGGGGCCGCGCCTGGCCAAGTTTTTCTGCCGCACAGCTTCCTTGATGCGATCCACCTCAAACTGATATCTCTTGCGATCCCTCATCGCTCCTTCCTTGGCCTCCTTCAGAGCCGTCTCTAGAGCCTGGACAACAATCAGCGTTGATCAATAATTGACACAATGAAAAGTGTAATCAATACAATTTTTTTTGTGAGAACAATATATATATTGTTTATGCACAGCCAATTCTCCTACAACAAAGTTCAGGCAGTAGAAGCACATAAAATGTTTACAATTAACTCAATATTTCGCCTCTCCAAGTATGCTCAGAAGAACTAGTGGTTACAGAGTTACGAATCTGGCTGCCACTGTTTCTAGCTTTTGAAGTCACCCCCTTTATGCTGCGAAATATCAAGTAACTTGTGTAATTGACTACTAGGGAGTTAATACTTAATAGACACGAAAGGTTCACGTTCACATAATATAAAAGTAAACTTAGATTTTCAATTGGTCTTTTTTCTCAATCATTTGTTTTTATTCAGGTAAGTACACATTTTTCTTTTTCTCTGAAAACCGATTCCCAAGCCAAGGGCTTTTCAGAAGTAAAACAATTATATGTGTATCTTAGTAATTTTATATGAATTGCAAGGTTTTACAGACATTCTAACCTATGTTCATTTTGTTAAGCTGTGAAAAAACAAAGTCTACAATTTATATGATAACTCTTGTCACTATGTGCTACGAGTACCTTGACTCGCTCCATGGTGGCCCGCAGTCGCTTCTCCAGTTTGGGCAGTTCACAGCGCAGGTCCGCGTTGTCTCTGACCAGCTGTTTGTGTACCTTGGTCAGCTGATCCAGGTTGTTCTCTAGGAAACTGATCTTCTGCTTCTGAGCCAACGAGCCGCCGTCGTCCTCGTTGTCTTCCGCATTCACCGACTGTAAACACCGTTCTGGTTACTACTTCCAACAATCAACCTCGAGAATAATTCACAAAATCTGCTGATTTAAGTTGGAGATTAATAAAGCCAGATTTTAGTTTCTGACTAGAATAATCCGCTCAGATATCACTCCTATATTTATTTGCTTATCAACAATTATATTAATATTAAATTGCTACAGGTTGATAAAATGAAATGGAATAGCATTTAATTAGATAATGGAACAATCAAGTGTGGCAAATTACTAGATCTGTAACAAGAATTTAATAACCACTGACATTTTGCAAAGTACTAAACTTAACCTTTTTAAAGGTAAAATTTGCATAAAAAATATGCTTGTGTAACCAATTGAACTGGGTGGTTTCAAACCTTTTTATTTATGATGCTAAATGAACAACAGACATATTACTTGCTTTACTTATAAATAGCTCAAACATATTGTATAGTTAAAACTTAAAGGAAACAAAGGATAAATAAAAAATAGTGTATACTTGGGAGTAGGAAAGGTACTGGAGGGAATATTGGACCATGGTTCTGACAAAGTGACGTCTCCTCACACACTTGGTCTGGTCTAACTGTGGAAAGAACAATAATGTCTTGAAGTTTAAAAGAAAATCAATATGTAGTATGAGTACAACAAAATCTTAAAAGTAACAAAAAGTTGAGTAGGTAACTTTAAAACATTAATAAAATAATTTCTTATTCCATTTTCAATTTTTTGAGGCATAAGAGTTTTAAAATAACTATTTAAGTCGGAGGCTACTGCACTGCTAGCCTTTTACAAAACTTGCCTCAGTCGGCAGATGAATTACCGACGTGTCGGTTTAGTAGTCGTGTGTTTAATATGTTTTCAGATTGGCGCGCATAATGACCCCGCGCTACCCGCCCGTCCTCAACACCTCCCCCCAAGGCCATACCTCCAAAACACAACTACACCGAGGGTGATGAAGACTCTTAACTGGTTTATAAAATAAGTTATTGCGAACAGATGAACTATTAGCGTTTGATCCTCAATGGCGCATCGATAAAAAAAGTGCTCCTTGATATAAGAGAGATGTTCTAATTCCATTGATTTCATACGACCCTTAAATACATGTTATTGCAAAGTGTAAACTTTGATAAGAAGTCTTTCATGGTGATGATGAAATAAGATTTGTTATCGAGGTTTTACTGTATATGCATTGCTTTCCATAATTTCTACTAGAGCTGACTCCATTCTCAGCACAATGAAAAGCAGAACAAAAACACACAGATCAGTTGTTGCACTATGTGTGTTGTACCATTGACTCAAATACTGAATCATAAGTCAAAGGTTGTACATTACCTTCTTGATCCTGGCCTGCAGGTCCTGTACGAACAGTTTGCGCAGGTTGTGTAACGTCTGCAACTCCTTGGCGACAGTGTCCTCCAGCCCCTTGAGATCCTTCCTGGCCTGCTCTCTCCTCTCATTGGTCAGTCTGCAACAATGCACAACACTGTTACCAACCCATCAAGTATATTACCTGGCAGTGTTGTGAAGTGGTAAAAAAAAATGTCAGAACTAAATGTGTAGGCCTATAAATTTAAAAAATAGTTTACACGTAAACTGAGTAATCCCAGACATTCTAGCCTAACTTATGAAAATTATTCTGTAAATTTAAGAACAATGCCGTATTGTTCTACTTATAATTTTGGAAGAAATCAGGGTTTAATAGGACAGGTCGCTCACTCGCTTACTCACTGGTCGTTAACGTTAACACATTACTCAGCCAATATATATATATATATATATATAATTGTTTATTAAACTACTTTAACACTTACATTAGTTCTTGGAGCTTATGACTCTTATCTTCTTCGTCCTTTTTCAGCTTCTCATACTCTTGTTGTAGTTGTTGTTGAGCCAGAGTATACTTTTGGTTGAGGCTGAAATAGAACATAGGTTTATTGTATACATTCAAAAATAAGCAGTCTGAAATAAAGTTGCTATCAAAGATGCAACATAAATTAAACAATAGAGTAATAAAAGTACAGCTCAGTTTATCACTTTTTTAACTACTGTATCTTAAATTTTGACCAACTAACACTGTTTAGTAATCACAAATCATATAAAATCAAATCAATTCTATTCCCTATAATAAAACATTACATAGAATATCTACAACACAACACTCTGAAATTAGGTCCCTGCAAAGCAAAGCTTGAGTTCAGGGACCAAGTCAAAACATTAAACTATTTTCATAGTTAGGCCTATGCCACAATTGTTGGAGACAATGATGATGTTGCCGTGAGTGTAGAAAATTGTCACATCAGGAAATAATAAGGGCAATACAATAGTTTGTTCTCAAGAATTTGTTTCAAAGCTTATTAAAAAATCTATCATGATGACCAATTGATCAGCTCAGTTATTGTTGGAAGTTAGAAGGGGCCTAACTTACATTAATAAAGAATTTGAAAATTTTAGTCTACCATAACTTTGGCATGCACTGACAATTTTGTTTTAATTATTCAACATTTCACAACTGGTTTAATGATAGACTCACTCCTTGAGCTGGTTGATGACAGACTGTTTCTCGCTGATCTCGTCCCTCAGCTCCCCGACCTGTTTCTGGTGAGCATCCCTCAGTTGGTCCATCTGCTCCTCCAGCGCCACCCTCATGGTGGCCGCCTTCTCCGTGGCCTCAGCCTTCTCCTTGGTAGACACTGCGTGTACTTGTTCTGAACAACAAACACAATGTCAGAGAAATTCTATATATGGACAAAACAACTTCAAAATTAAAAATTTTAATCTTCGTTGGTAATCAAACTAAAGCTTAACTATTTAATTATTTCATTGACATTTCAAGAAATCAAAACACAAAATTCACATCCATTCACAGTTTTCACAGTCAAGTTTGAATAAAGCAATTAAGTGAAGTTCAGAGGCCAGGCAAAGTTTAGGGTGAATTCAGGAAATTTCACCATAATTTTGGGTATTTCAATTTCATTTCAATCATTTCGGTTTTACAGAACTGATATCTTGGGATATTAAAGTGGAAATTTACAAAGTCAATGCCATTGCAGTAGATAATCATAGTTTTTATGAAATAGCAGTAGGCCTTGGGATCTGCATGAATACAATTGATCTAGGAAATTTTTATCATCGTTCCTTTGGGTAAGATTTTATTCATATCAGTTTTTGAACTGGTATCTTGGGATATTAAGAGTCCTTGGAGGCTAGCGGCCATCTTGGATAATTTCAAACAGCTGCTGAAGAGTTATTAATTGACAAAAAATCTTTGTTCAAACACCATAAAGATTATAATTTAAATATCTAGTATACTGTGAGATTATAAATGTTCTTTGTAGTTTTGGATTGTTCTCCAAGAGAGTCCATGGAAGCTAACGGCCATCTTGGATTTGCCCGCCATAAGAGCAATGTTAATTTTGTTTATTTCAAACAGCCGCTGATGAGTTATTTACCATCCAAAAATATTTTTTGTTTAACACCAGAGTGATTTTAATTTTAATATCTAGTATTCTGTGAGATTAGAAATTTTTTTGTAGTTCTTTAATTGTTTTACGAGTCAGAATGTCTAGACTCCAAGGACTCTTTAAGAGGAAATTTACAATGTCCCTGCAATTGAGGTAGATATTCAAAAATTTTCCGTGATCACAGGAGTCCTTGAAATCTGCATTGAATCCAAAGTAACAATGTTACAAGTCTCCAACTCTTCCATATCACCAATTTTAAAAGCAATTTATATAGTTTGGAATCACAATAGGCTCATCCCTACCTTTAAGATTTAACCACAAAATTCACAGCCAAAGTCTTTAGTGGTTGAAAAAATCCACAGTTAGTTTTACGTTTCGAAGACTCATGGTTAAATGCGTGCTCTGTATTTAATTAACTGAATACTGATAAGCAAAAGTGTCTCTTTAAACTGATTGTATTGTGTCAGCCACTCACCGGCAGCCTTCATTTTGGCGCATTCCTCCCGCAAGGCGTCCACATTCTCCTCCAAAGCCCGCTTCTTGTTCTCCGCCTCTCTCATAGACTCCTGCAGCGACTTCATACGAGCCTCGTGTTGGGATATCAGCAGACGACACTCTGCCAGGTCCTTCTCATACTCACTGATCTGTTAACATTGTGTACATGTTTATGACACGTTTGTTGGTTTGAATAGTACACTTTTTGCAGGAGAGATAGTTTTGATACAGAAACACTTCTTTTATGAATAACATAGCTGTTACACGTAGATGTTACTCCATTGTAACACAGCAAAATGTCATTTTAGCTTTGCAGGATTTAAATTTGAGTTAATCTACCTCCAATGTGAATTCCCACTCCCTTAAAACCACACAATTTTACCATCTAATACACACTAAATTAATGATTAAAGCACATTTTTGTTAGGATAGAAGACTTTTTATCTAGATGGTAAAACAAATGGAAACAAAACACAAACATTTGAATATTTTACTGTCACTGACAGCATTTGACCAAGAGGGTTTGAGAGTTGGAAAGGAGAGTCTTCAGGTCCAACCTATTCCCAACTTAAACCTTCCTTATCAATTATGCTGTCAGTGACAGTGAAATAGTTTAACTTTAGTTTATAAAGTTATTTTGTGTTATTATGCCAAAATATTTCTTAATCAGGTATGTATGATATCCTAAAAAAGATATAACCTAATGTTTACAGGTTAACTATACCTTCTTGTTGCAGTCAGTTTGATACGTCTCCAGACCTTGACAGCGTTGCACCAAGTTCTTCACTTCAGACTTCATCTTGGAGATGTACAACCTGGCCACTGTAAACTCCTCTTCCAGCTTGCCATTGCTGTCACTCGCCAGCTGTTGGACAGAGCAATGTTCAGCAATGTTAGATAGATATTGTCACGATCTAAAACTCAATTAGATATTTTCTCCTGGGATAGCATTAAATAAGTCTAATTTGGATTCAAAACTTATCATGAATGAAATTGCTAGTATTGCTGGAAGATTGTTTTTGTAGTTGGTCTGTTCAACTAATTTCAAGTAAAAAAAATCCTTGAGAAGGAATCAATTATTTCACAAACAGGCTGCCAATGGGAAAAAAATCTCAATGCATTTGAATTTTATTGGTATATATTTGAACAATCAATATTGAAGCAAAGCAACCCTCTCCTGGCCACTTGGTTTGGATTGACCAACTGGTTTATCATGATGCATACTAAAATCCGAACACCAGTTGTCAACTTCTTTAATTTGGATTTTGGTGAAGGATTTGGCTGGCAGAAAACAAGCCATAAAGCTGAAGCAAGTTAAATTTTGCCAGTTTTTCAGATAAGGTTAGACCATTAGGTTTCATTTCTTCCATTTTTTCTGGATGTACAGTGTGTGTTACAGAAAATTTGTTTTGTTTGAATTTACAACAAGACAGATAATCCAAACTACATCCAGTCCCAATTGGTATGGATTTTTGACTCTCTACTGTATAGCTAAGACATACCTTCATCTCGCTCTCGCCACCGATGGCCACCCCGATCTCGCCCAGGTCCTTGAGCAGGTTGGTGAGCATCTCAGTGATGCGCCGCCGCTGATGAGTCGACATGTCCTTCAACTGCTGCAGCTCGGACGACGTGGTGTTCAGTGTGCTCTGCAACATCCCAACACACACATTACATTGACTCATTCAGAAGAGGTACCTAGTACAAAGCTAGTACTCAATATTGACCATTTTAACACTCAGCAAGGACTAACAATTTCTTTAACGACTACAGTTTTTATGGTAATTTTGCCAAGAGAAAACAATTATTAGGATCAATTTTAAGATGAAACAGAGAAATACTTAGGATTTGTACTAAAAGCGTTTATTTGGAAAATCAAATCAAGATGGACAATTGATAATAATCCTAATTAAATCCTCTGTTAAATTCTTACAACTACCAAAACCTCCCCTTTGCTCTATCAACCTATATTACTACCATGAACCTTCTTCGGAGTATAACCACGCAACCAAAAGACCAAATGCAATTTCTACCTCATCTAATAACACACTACACCCTATGTTGCCAGTTGATTGCTCGAAATATTCCTGAGCAGAGGTAGCTTGTTGAGATCTACCCTGTTGTTGAGATGTGATGGCCACGCACAGGGAGGGTAGAAAATTCAATAAAAGAATTTGAGTCAAAATTTGAATACCTAATTATCGATGAAAAAGTTGATTCGGAATAATTTACAACTCATTGCCAATTACAAATCATAACAAACCATAGAATGCTCCTAGCCAAATTTACACCCCTGTGGTCAACCGCGGGGAGGGAATGATAATGTAAAGACGCAGCTAAGTGTCCCTAATTTACACCCTTTGCGCTCTTCTAACCCAATTGCCTGTCCCATGCCTATTGGTTTGGCGATCATAGATGTCACACAGAATGATGGCACCTCTTGTAAGCAGAACAATCTTGACACATTTCATGCTACGACCGAGCCATCGAAAGCAATGTAGCAATTTATGTATCAAATACTTTGTGACACTCAACAAAAACCCAATTGAATTGTATTTCCAACTTGTTCCCATAGCCCAGTTGCTGATAGCAGTGACAATGGCTTAAATTTACCATTACTGTGTTTTAGGATGGTATTTAAGATATTTAAAATTCATCTATAATAAATTCAAGATTGTAACAGAATAGTAGTCTATTGTTGAGATGTAGCCTATTAGTGAGGAGTAGCCTGTTAATTAGGGGTTCCTATTGAGGCGCAGCCTTAGTTCTTAAACTACTTAACTTATAAAATGTGGATTCGCAAACATCATGGGAATAAAAATACACATTTTTTTCTATGACTGATCAGTGATCACCCTTATGACGCATGACCGAGGGCTACTGACCTGTTTCTGCATGAGTTCCTCAGTAAGCTGTTCGTTTTCCTTGTTCTTGGTCTCCACCTCCTGACTCTTCTGGTCGTAGTTCACTGCCAACTCCTCCAGAGCCTGCAGCACCTCCTTCACCTCCTCCTTGGAGCTCTCGTTCTCCTGTGTGATGCGAGCCATCTCCTGCTGCAGCAGCTCAAAGTCTCGCCGCGTCGACGCAATCAGCTGCAGAAGAAACACCATTACATAATGTGCTTCATTGTTAAAGAATGTGAAAAACACAAAAAAAATTGTTGAGGATGAATTAAGCTTTCCAAATTATAATTTTTCATATTTAAATTTTGAATTGATTGTACATGATTTACAGATGCAGTAGAACATTTAGCTTCTACCACTGTCGGAACTGGGACACATATATTCACAAAGAAACTTTTTTTTACATTATTTAACTAGTAGGCTGTAAATATTGTTTGGAATTCATTTTTTTGTTAAGATTTTTGCGTTTTATTGTTTAAGAAATATTTCCAGAGATTTTTTATTACCTACCATTACTAAAAAAATAGTTTTCACAAAGCTTTAGGACAATCTGATACGGTCTTTAGGAGAAAAATGAAAAATGTATCAATAACATAACAGGAATACTACACAACCCCAGCCAAAGCTGTAAAAATAACAAAAGAAAACCACACAGAGACCAGTATAGTAGTTATGGTTGAGATTTCATATACCAAAATGTAGTGAAAACTTCTCTACCCTGGTGAAAAATATCTGCTATAACCCCTCACATAACACAATAATCTAAAAGCCCTCCAGAACAGTGAAATATACCTCTTCTTGCTCCATCATCTGCTCCTTGAGTTTCTCCACGTACTGACTGGTCTGGTTGATTTCCTCGTCCTTCTCATCCAGCTGTTGGTAGAGTCGCTCCCTCTCCTCCTCCAACTTCTGTCTCTCCTCGTTGGACAGAGACCCGACCATGATGCCTCCACCAGGGGTGGCTGGCATCGGCCCCAGCACCACATCTAGACATTGTCCACGGTCTTAGAAAACATGTTGTCATTCAAAACAGATGGTTTATTTATTGGCAGTAAGGTCTTAGGAATACATTAGGAAGAATAAATGTATACATAAATATCTCGGCCAATAAAAGTTAGAAAAATGGTAGTATCAAGTCAGTTTTGATGTGAAGTTTTTGGCCAAGTTAGTTGAGTACTCATTCCTTCATCCTTTAAGTCAAGATTTTATTAACACAGAAAGATGGTAAATCAATTTAAAGTGACAAGAGCATTTTAAATTAATTGAACTAAGCTGTTCATAAATTTTTTCTTTTGAGTGGTGGTTAAAAGTTTCCTCGTAAATTAATTGAAGATTTATTTGGTTTGTAGTTGTGTTCAGGTACATTTAAAAAATAAATTTAAACTTAGTTCAGCAACAACATGATACTTTGATCCAACTTTAACATAAGCAAATCAATAAAATTCTTTCAAACTTATCTAGACAAACATGCATATTGTATATCAAAGCCTTTATGTTTTGAAACCAATGAATAAAATTGCAATATAATTTTCAATCAACAAACATATCAATTCTTAAAGACAGCTACGCATACTTCATTACGAGTTTTAAAAACAATATAACGCATGGTGAGTGTAGAATGAAGTGAGATGACAGATGATCTGTGTAGCTTTACTGAACAAGATCAGCTGTTTCATTAGTCAGGATCATATTGATGAAGGACAGCTGGGCCCAGTTTCAAACCATCAGTTTTCTCACTTTTCTCAGGATTGAACAGGCAACCTACTGATTACCGATTACTAGGTGAGCATTATAACCACTCAATTACCTTTCTTGATCTCAGGTGCAGGTGCGACAGGCGTCACCGCCTCTACAGTCTCGTTCAAATTGACTTGCTCTTCAGGGTTCACTGTTTCACCCTGGCGCCACCTAGCCACAGAAACACAGGTCACATAGAGGTCAATCCAAGTTACTTTGGGGCACGGAACAAAGATAAGACGTTTCTTATAAAAACACCACAACTAATAAAAAATTTACATTTCTATCTCTGACATCATTGATAATCATTGTTCCAGGTTAAAAAATCATAAATAAAAGGTTGAAATAACTGGGACTTCTGTCAGGTAATCCTAGTTTTGACAATGTTCAATGGCTTCAAACCTTAAACTTTATTTTCTAGTAGATGTAAAACTGTAGTAGGACTAGGAATAGGATAAGTTAAATTAAGGTAGAAAACAATTTTACAGATAACGGCTTATTTCTATGACCCTGCATAGGCTTCCACAGTCACTTATAGTAGAATCGTGGTCTTCTGTTGACGACATTGTTCTGGTGAAAATCTACGATAGTGATTTGTTGATTTTGACACAGTCGTCACCAGGAGACCACAATTTTATTTCTATGAAGGTCACAAAGAGGTTAATATTTGATCTGGATGGAGCACTACAAGATCGTAAAGTATTGAAATGCTGAAAAACAAGGCTACATCTAGTACTTGCCTGCTCAGTTCCAACTCCAACTTCTCAAGTTTCCCTTTTAACCTCGCCACCTTTTCTTTCTCTTTCTCGTATCTTCGTTTCCACTCTTCTGCTGTCAGTTCTTCATTCACACAAACTACATTCTTGATTGTTTTTGCTCTGTGAAATAAACAAGGATCATTAAAGAATATAATAGTATAGTAATGTACTTTTATTTTAGGACGATGTGGAATTTTTATTTTCTTCTTCATTTTTGAGACAAAACTATTGTTATTTTACGCCGCAATCGCAGGGACACACCCACCACATCGACAAAATCGTAAACATCTCCTTCAATCGCAGAAAAAACATCATTGTTAACCGCCAATGTAGGAAAATCCAAACATCTACTAAAATTTTGGAGACATCATCATCGTCACTCTAAATAAAGCAAAATTCTTATTTAATTTACATAAAATTACAATAGAGGAAAATAGTTTTGATGTTTTTACTAATTTTTATTTTGTTTAGTCTTCTTAAGCTTTGTTTTGTAAAGATAATAATTGTTTTAGCGATAAGTAAGGCACAATTCATCTTTAAATTTATTTGACGCTATTCATTGTATGACAACTTGAACTGTGAATGAATAAAGAGAATTTGAATTGAATTGAAATTAGTGGCATAACAACAAAAATGCTTAGTAATGTTAGTGTCGACCTACCTCCGGCCAAAGTCGAGGGTGGACTTGGTCTCGGACTCGTTGAAGCTGGCAGGTGAGCAGCAGATGATGATGGTAGTGCGAGCATTGCCGCCAAGACTCTCCTGTAATATCCTCGTCAGCTTGGAGTCTCTGTAGGGGATGTGGGTCTTGTTGCCGTCGGCCAGCGCGGAGATGACGTTACCCAACGCACTCAGCGACTTGTTGATGTTCTTGGCTTCATCTAGCACAGTACCTTCTGCACCTGTCTTGCTCACCTAACAAACACCAACAGTCAAACATTAGCCAAATTGAAAGAGTCCATCCCGTGTAAAAATTGAGAAAATCTTTGGTGGTATACGGTTTTATAAATTGGCCAACTACTATTTGAAATCAAATTCGTAATTAATTTTGGGGGTACAGTTAGTTGTACAAAGAGAATTACTCAGGCAAACGTATTTAAAGTCATAAAAGAAGTTTATTTCCCACAAAAAACGGCAATAAAACACAACATTACTATGCAGATCAATATAAAAGGCTACCCACTTCAGTAGCGTTTTAACCGGTTTGTTTTTTTAGTTATTAGCTATAACTTGACTTGGTAATTTATAGTCTAGCACTTAATATAAAACAATTAATTCCTTGCCATCTGGTAATTGTGAACAATAGTATATTACGTTACTAGTCCTGAAAATAAGTGTTTACCGGACGAGTGTGGTCGTTCCCGTGCGAGACGAAGTCGAGTACGGGATTACCATACGAGTCCGGTACACACATTTTGGACGAGTTACCTACGATAGTTTACGCCATACTACTAAATCTGTATGAATCCTAATATATTTTCACCAGCTAAAGAACTAAAAATCACTAGTCATAACCTCTTATGTTTTTGTTTATAACTATTCATTGCCACCTAAATATAGTATAATCAGCTGATTGGTGTCCGGCAAAACTCATTACAGTACAGTAGTACGCAATGAAACCCCATTTGGATAAGCTGGCGGCAAACAGCTGTTTTCTGGACTAAATCCTTGCGTGGGAAGTTCGTCAAAATAATGTAGTGTGGCGTAAAGAAAATTACTGAAACAAAATAGTATGATTTTGTTATGTCCTATCAAGGCCCCACTAGAAAAACAAGCCATGCTGCAGGATCCATGACGTCACACTTGTGGATAGATTTTAGTACAAACTATGATAAGATTTTAGTGACGTAGTGTTACACTGCCCGCTCTGCAGCATGGCCTGTTTTTCTAGTGAGGCCCCTGTTGGTCCTACTGAGAATAAAGCCAAATTATTGTTGCTCTGCCAAACTGCCTGAATTTCAAACTATGCTTTATTGTTATTTAACACATTCACTACCAGGTCACCCAAGAGTTCACACACAGAGGAGTATGACGGCTGGTAGGCAACATGTTAATGTGGTAAATAATTTTAAATCACGCAAATTTCCTGCCATACCAAGAATAGCAAACCTGAGGTACTTGTTATTCGCACCAGGTGTGTGTCTAAGTATACATTTTCCTGCCCCTTTTTTTTACAATAATCAGAGCAAAGATGACACCACTAATCCAGCAAGTTTACCATGACAGAAGTATTAGGTTAAGCTAAGATAACAAATTTAACCACCAACCTTTTCACTGCCTGCCAAATCAACCAAGTAGAGCTTTCCAGAGAGTTTCTTTTCATTTTCGAGATTCTCTTGTTTTACATTAATGAGAAAAACACTATGACTCCTTGAACTGTGTTCATTCATATCTAGAAAAAAGAAAGATTTTTTAGTCAATTAGGCCTGATTTTAACTTGAAAAGGCTTAGCGTAGTTTTTTTATGTCCTACTCACACATCCTAGGACGCTAGTTCTAGCCCAAAACTGTTTTACACATTAGGCTACTTTAGGCTAGTCCGAGTGGGTTGCGGCATTATCACATTGATAAATTTCATTGGTGATTGACGGGATTTGAACCCGGGACCTCAAGCACCGAAGCCCTGTGCTCTATCACTAGACCAGCTCGCTCCCCAACACTTACCCCTCCCCCAAAGACTTCCCGTAGAAGTAAAATCAGTATTTTTAATGCCTGCATGAGCATCTGAATTAAGATTTTTAATCCAAACCTATTATCAATCAATTATATCAACATCAATTATTTAAGATGGGGACACCAATATGTCCAATGGGAATTGCCACAGAAAGATAAATTCTGAGATTGCTCCCAGAATTTATTCCACAAAATTAATTTTTTAGCTTTCATAACTTTTTTACTACTTTCAGTTGCAACTTTATAATTTCATTGAAATAATGACACATGCTTGATAGCCTAAGTATGATGAGAAATGAGCTTATGTGAGATGTGCATTTGTTTGCCTTTGTTACTGACTAGGAATACAGGCTGACTCATCTGTCAAGATTATTAATCAACAGCACAATAGACAAAGGCTGCTGGGTCAACAATAATTAACAATCACATAGCCTACAATACATTTCTCTGTACGGTGACAAACCACATATTTCAAGACAGGAGGCTTGAGAAAATCCTGCCTTTAAATACTTGTTTATCTAAATACTCACTGGTTACAGCTATATGTCGGTTGGATTTTCCTTCTTCGATGACCTCAAAAACCTCATCAGGGCTGGAAACGAATCGTTCGGTCGCTCCCTTCACAAACGGCACCCGGTTCTTGTCTTCGTGTACACTTAGGTTGACTTTTGATACTGAAATGCAACAAAACATTTAATATACAGGACGAAACACAATACAGTTTTAACAAATTATTTAGTTTAACAGTAGAAGCAAATTATTTCTTTTCAACAGCGTAAGCTTACTATGACGGTGGTCTGGTCTATGTAATATATTCAAAATGGTGGTTTCAAAATATGAACGCAATCAATTAAGATCAGAGTATTTTTACATGACTGAGGTTCGGCAGAAGAAAGTTCTAGATGTTTAGTGATCATGTAAATAAAATAATCTATGACCAGAAAGAGATATACAAAAATCACGAAAAGTAGGTTCGCAAAAAAATATTTTTCAAAACCCAACTAATTTACAAACAAAAAATCTTAATTTCAAACTCACCGTCTAACAGATCTCTGATTTTGTCCATGTAGATTTCGAAGTAGGAGACCTTGATGTGAAACTCGAGGTTCTCCTCCATGGCGTATATGTGGTTGAATATGTCGTTGACGATGCGAGGGATGATTCCCTGCTTGCCGGCGTCACCAATGACCCCCTCCATGGTGTGGGTCTTGCCTGACGATGTTTGTCCGTACGCAAATATTGTGCCATTGTAACCACACAACACGTCTAAAACAACATCAACAATCTCAATCATCTGGATAGTCATTGACTAGTATACTAAGTAATTGAAACATCCTGATATTCATTGACTAGTAAACCAAGTGATTTAAATCATCTGGATATTCATTGACTAGTAAACCGAGTGATTTAAACCATCTGGATATTCATTGACTAGTAAACCGAGTGATTTAAATAATCTGGATATTCATTGACTAGTAAACCGAGTTATTTAAATAATCTGGATATTCATTGACTAGTAAACCGAGTATTTAAATAATCTGGATATTCATTGACTAGTAAACCGAGTTATTTAAATAATCTAGATATTCATTGACTAGTAAACCGAGTTATTTAAATAATCTGGATATTCATTGACTAGTAAACCTAGTGATTTAAATCATCTAGATATTCATTGACTAGTAAACCTAGTGATTTAAATCATCTGGATATTCATTGACTAGTAAACCTAGTGATTTAAATCAACTGGATATTCATTTACTAGTAAACCGAGTGATTGAAATAATCAGGATATTCATTGACTAGTAAACCGAGTGATTTAAATCATCTGGATATTCATTGACTAGTAAACCGAGTGATTTAAAGGTAAACGGTTAACTGGGCAATTTTTAATGAACCTCTCAGTCAAAATATTTTAGGGAAAATAGGCTTCACTTCACCTTGTTTCGGGGGATAAGGAACTCTTTTGTTTTTGTGACCTAAATATGTACATTTACCTAATTACCCTATTTAAGCTACTACCTAATTTGTTTTTCTTCACATGGATTACATTTAGTCCACGAGTATGTTGTATTTTTTCTAGACTAGCTTGGAGGCTTTGTCGGATAGGTAAGTATGGTTATGTTTTAGATTCACTGTTTGTTGTATATTGATTTAGGTTAACTAATCTATGTGCAGAGAAAAAAATAGGTAGATTAGGTTAGAAAGAAGAATTTGGTAAATTTAGATATTTATGACACCTAACAGGAGCCCCCTCATCTTCCAAAATATAGTGTGGTCAAAACAAAAAAGTTTAAAAAGTCCATTTTACCCCAAATTTAAATGGCTATCCTGTGCAATAGGGAACTTAAAAAAACAGCCTAACACGAGTGATCTAACTCAATAGTTTATCTCAGCGAAAAAAGAAACTGCAAACACCAATAACACTAAATTATATAAACTCAACTTTGAAGAATTGTATGGACAGAATCAAGTGAATTATTTAGTCAACATGTTGAGTTCAAAGTTTTGTTTCCTGGTTTTGTCTAGTTGGAAAAGAACAAAGAACTAAACTTCTATCAAGTCAATTATTAAATAACTTTAAGAAGAGTGAACCTCAAACTTTGGAGACTCTAGATAAACTCATGAGTATTTTATTTCCTCTCCAGGGATTTCCTTCCCTTTTGGCAAGAATTTAATTAAATTAATTTAATTTGAATTAATACAGCTGTATGTCCCTTTTTGTTCATCTCAAGGCCTACATAAAAGCAGAAATGTTATGATCAAAATTAAAAATAGGGGGTTAATAAGACGTATTTTCAAGCTATTATTTAAAATCAAATATATTTTTTCTCTCATGTTTATTTGTATTTTGTTATATTTGTATCTCACATTAATTAAGTAAAAAAAACATAGGGTAGGCCTACTGTAGTAAATTCAAAATGTTAAAACAATATAAAGGTTTTTTAGAGCGTAGATTAGAAACGCATAGGCCTATTCTAATACAAGTTGGGTAAGTTTAAACTCTTAAATCACAGCACTACACATTGTCAGTATGCACAAAATAAAACAAATAATTCTGCCATGTACCTACTTTAATATTTATTTTATACATATTATACATTAGCCTATGTAATATGTAATATCAATATTGAAGTGTTATTACAGATTTTTTTAGCCAATTGAGTACATATTTAAACTGATCTGGTTATTAGATATGATAGGGCAATAGAATTATATAATTTTAGGAATCAAAGAATCATAATTCTTATTAACATTAAAAGATTGACTTAAGTCCAATAATATAAAACACAACAGGGCTTCTTAAGTTACGTAAAAATTCAAACAGTTACTTTAACATTGTTAGATTTTATACGTTTTTTAATTCATTGCCAAAGAATATATATTTTTGATTGATTTATTCTTGTTTAATTGCATGAATAAATAATTTACGCAACCTACTTTTTAGTAAAAAAAAAATTAAAATGTTTACAATAATTTATCTTATAAAAATATATTGATCTAATGGAGTGATTGATCTAAGAAAATCCATATTAAGCTTACAATAAATTACAAAACTTAACTAGTAAGAAAACAATCTTTCCACGAGCCGAAAAAAAAACAAACTCTGCCAGTATATGTGCCATGTCTGTCAGGATCAGACGGAAGGCCAATGTACGGAGTCAATCTATTGATCTCCTAATGGCTTGGCCGCTCCCAACATACTTTACTTGTTACTGACATTCTATGCAACAAATGTACTGGAAACATTAAAACTTCATACAACCAATCAGACACTAAGGTTTTGTACTTTTTTACATTTTATAACTTTACACTCTCCTTAATAGCAACCACCCAACTTCGCAAACTTCTTTAACTCCGAAATAAATTGCAAGCTCAACATCACAATGCGATAAACTGAGGGATGGATGTGAGCAATTAAATGTAAACAATTATTCAGTTAGTTTTCTGATATTAAAATTATATTATGATTTCAAATGTAAGCATACCGGCACATTAAAAGTGAAAATGACAAATTTAACAAAAAAAGTTTGAAAAGAAAATATCTGTAGGTCTAATAAAAACTCTACTTATGATTTCAAATGTAGGCATACATTAAAAAGTGAAAATGACAAATTTAACAAAAAAAGAGAAGAAAATATCTTTAAGCAGACCTAATAAAACTACTAATTTTATTAATGCAAAACTTTTAATTAACTTGAATAATTAAGTAAGTTTTTAAACTTCCAAACAGCATTGGCTGAAGAACAGAGAGAGGCACCGGTGTCTGAGTTAATTGTATTGCAGTAACTCTGAGTCAGAGCCTTGACAGCGACTCACATTTACACATGCAACTGTGACAACAGGCTTCATGAGAAAAGGCTGGGTTTAACCATTGATTATATTGACAGTTTAGTATTGTTGTATGGCTAATGGTTTATAATAATTACATACAGTGTTCAAAATTTAAAAAAAATGTACTGCATATATTTATTCATGTCAAATTTATTTAGGGTAGTAGAAAACACATTAGAAACACAGAAAAATTATGTTAAAAACTCGCCTACTAATATTAGCCTTTAGAAGCCTGATAAGTCCTAAACATGTGATTCATTTTACTGCAGTAAGCAAAAAATAATAAATGGTAAAAATACACAGCTAGTTTTAATTTAAGTGAACCTTTCAAATTGGTTTCTTTTGATAACTATTGTCCGTTTTGTTTGAACTATCACAGCTAAATTCAAATTACTAATACTGTAATAATAACAGAGAAATAAGGATACCTACAAAAAATTATGTTTACTTCTCTCTAAAAAAAAAAAAAAAAAATACTCCTATAGTGTAATTCTTAAAGTGTCTTTCCAATTAAGAAAGATGAAATAGTGAATGTAGAAAGGATGTTGTTTGTGTATTAGATGCTGAATGTGATTGGATAAAAGACAGCTTCAGGGTTGTGCTTTGTCCGTATTCAGCTTCCTACAAGTATTGTATCCCTTTGAAAGCCTCGGCAGGAAATAGTATAGTAGCTCAATACAAACTATTTTAACCTATTTTACATTGACATGACAAAACTTTTTTTTAGAAAACGCTTAAGAATGAAAGAGACATATTCATTAATATTAAGTTGGTTCATGGTTGTTTTAATAAATTAAAATACCATAGACAATTTTTAAGCCATCAATAAAAATGGTACACTTTCTATCCCCCCCCCCCTTCAAGTATAAGGGCTCAAATAAGTTAAAATTCAAAATATTGGGTTTTTTTATTATTTAAAGTAGAAAACTGTGTTGCCCTGTTCAACTACTGTTTTAAATATAAACAGTAACAACAAAATTGAAAGGCATCCAGAGTATTTTTTGCATAAATGTAGTCTTTTAGTAAAATAGGGTTTGTATCACATAATCTTAATTCTTAGTTAGGAGCAACTCAGTTTAAGTTTAACCATGAAACCAGGTATCAAGAATGTATAAAAAAAATTTGCTAAAGGTGACAATGCTGCTTTCTGTGTTTGAAATAAGCAGCAGTTCAGTTAAAACTCGGAACAAAAACAATAAAGACAAAACAAAGAACAAAGTATTTAAATCAACAGCCGACCCTCTCCAAGTGTTCCCTTAGGGTCTAAAACTTGACTCTGGGTTGGGTTTAATAACGAGCCTCATTTAAGACGCAACTCATACTTATTTACATTTGGTGTCAATGTTTTTAGAATATTAAATTAATGAAATATTATTTTATAATATACCCATGCAAAATGTATTTCTCCTCAAATATTTTTTTTCTACTATTCTAAAGAAATATTTTGTTTCATACCTATCTGGCAAGTAACAATCAATTTTGTAAAACTTGCACTAAATAAGGTTGGTGCTGTTTTTGAATACAAGAAACCACTGTCCAAAAATCTCAGTTAGGCTATAAAAAATATTTGAAATAGAAATGGTGAGAAGGGGCTACTAAAAAACTGGAAATGCATTTTCCAGTTAAACATTGAAAAAGTGTGACTTGTTAGAATGTGAAAACATTTAACACACTTAATGTTAAATTATTTATAGTAGCTTAAGTATGAATGTCAATTCGATGGACTTGAATGACCAGGTTGCAGAGATCATCAAGAATTTAGAGTGCCTCAAAAATTTCCTTTCATATGGAAATAAAGTATACAAAGGAGCCGGTGAGACGGCAGAACAAAACTCGGCTAGGTAGTACCTCAGGTGAAACAGTGGAACAGTTTGCACTTTGAGAGATTAATGCAGTGACTGTGTTAATATTGCAACAGGCAAGGAAATGCGAGAAGCTGAAACATTGGTGTGAATGTGTTTTGTTTTATAAAACAGAAAAGTTTTTACTTAATCATCACAACAATTCTTTGGTTTTATTAGACCTATAATTTTTAAAATAATTTTCAATTGATTTATTGTTAGGTTAGGTAGTTTAATTCGTACATTTAAAATTAATGAAAATTCATATTATGGAAGAAAGGAGTGTAAGTTAGGCCTATGGTAAAATATTGGCCATTTTTTTATATTTAGTAAAAAATTTGACTTCAAAGATTTATTGGCCAATGACATTTAGATGAGGATCAAAACCATTAGGCTACTTTCAATTGCTTGGTAGGTACAGGTAAAACATGAATACTTATAAAAACAAAAAAAAATCCAAAATTTTACCTGAAACAATAGATTTGGCTGCTTCATTGTAGACTTTTTCTTGTGAAGCGTTCGGTTTGAAAACTTTGTCAAAAAGATAAACTTTGCCCTGAAAAAACAAAATCAATTATTACGATTAGAAGCGGATTAACATCGCAGAATCTGTGTACCAGCTGACATAGCTGGGGGTACGCAAGGTGACACTCCAGCGGCTGAAAGTCATCATTTGTTTCCCAAGTAGCCTACCACCCTGAGAATACGTGAAATAGATAGCATACATAGTTTAAGGACATTTTGCTGCAGACACGATTGCTGTAAGGTTTGTAAAGCAGCAATAAGGTATGTTAAATCCTTAATTTACCTGTCAAGCGTAAAAGAAAATATATTGGCCTATATTCAAACGTTAATGTCTAGTAAATGATGTTATGGACATCACGAGATATTTTTACAAAGTAAGTGTTAGTGTAGAGTTTAAATAAATTTCTCTAATGGTTAAAAAGTCAATAGGCCCAAGTTATTTTAAGCGTTTTAAGAAAGGGTTTACTTAAGTGGACACAAGATTCCTTTTTTGTTTCAGTCGTCTTTGATGAATAATTTTTAGCTACAGATCCAACTGACCTTAGCCAGTGTTATAGTCAGTGTTCCTATTAGTCAACGTTCATCTCTGCCTTCAACTACGGTAATCATCATGTTGAAATGAAATGAAATGAAAATCCTTCTTTATGAGGCGAACTTAGGATCTCATAGTTCTTTCTTACAGTTTTAACCTCTAAAAATCTAGGCATAATAATAATTAGGATTGCTTTCGTAGCAGTGAAAGCCAGTTGAGCGGAGCAATCATGTTTCATTGTCTTTAATAAAGCAATAAATGAAAAACATTTTTATAGATATAATACTAAATACAAGAGTTCACAAACTCCGTTAATAGCTAAACTGCTAGCCTTTACTAAATCATTTTTACCACTTCCTACAACCTGTTTTCCTCCCTTCCCATAGCATTATAGAATTAGTTACATAAATCTAAGTGCCACAGACAGTTCCCATACTCCATACTGCTCGCCTTAACTACTGCCTTCACCACTTCCTACATCGTGGACCTGCTTCCCAACCTTTCCATAGCAATTTAGTATTTTAGATACATTAATCTAACTGCCCCACACTCCCCACTGCTAGCCTTTACTACTTCATTCACCACTTCCTACGTTGTGGATCTGATTCCCTCCCTTCACATAACCTTTTAACATCTTAGACACATTAATCCAACTGCCCCAAAGCGTTCCCACACTCCACACTTTCAGTTTTTTTACTAGCCTAACCATTTAGCTACGTAAATCAAATCTGTAAAATACTGTACCATACAACAAAGTATATATTTTATCTATGACTGTACCTATTTTATCAATGGTCGTTTCCATTGCGACTTGTAAGCCAAAGACTTTCTCTGTCAGCGAACACATAACAAAATAGAAGCGCTACTCGGAGCGCAGGAGCGTGGCAGTCTGACTAGCCGACGAAACGGACAAAGATGGCGGCGCTAGCCTAGTCCCGGCGTCTGCAACGCGCTGGTCGTCGGCTATGCTTCGAGTCAGTGTTGTTTACATAGGCTTTGTTTGAATGTAAAAATACTTTTGTATAAAAATTACTTAGCCTAGGTTTTTCTGGAAGTACATTGTCGTATTAGTATATTGTTGGAAATATCTTGTAGTAAATCGATTGTTTTTACTGTATTATTGCCGACATAAAATTTATCTAATGAAAACCTTTACCCTTAAGTTCCTATAATGAATTATTCAGCTGATTAGACAAGCACAAATTCGTTTAATCAGAGTTTACTTGGCTATTTCCAAAGTAATGGTTTAAGAATCGTTTAGGTTGATGTTAGCCTCCGGATTACCAATAAACACAAACATAATTACTCTATTTTAATGATAAATTAAAATAACAATAACCAGCATGTACTCTGGACGGATTAAAAGAGTAAACTACAATAGAAATTAAAACTGGTCTTAATTTAAGTAGTGTTACAAGTTACAAAGTAAATTATTTATTAAAAAATAATTAAATAATTTATGAAGAAAATAATAATAATTCGTTTGAGTCTAGAATCAAATAAGAAATTTATAAATCTTAAGTTATTGTCATTCTTTCTGTACTTGAAAATGTCTTTAATATATACAATATTACAGTACAACAGTATAAATAAAACATTAAAACACTGCACGCTAAATTTATAGACGACGGCCCGGCGGGGCAGCGGGCGTGGCGCGGAGCGGCGGCAATGGACCCCTTTTGTACCTGATATTTTTAGAAAACCACGCACGATAAAAATTTGTGGTGAATCGGATAGTTAAATTTGGTTATTTATCCACAACTTTCCCGCTGACGAAATTACTCTGACCAAAAAATAAAAAATTTCCTCGCAATACAACTTTTTCATGTCTGAATGTGAAAAATTAAACTACATAGGCCTAAGTTATACAAATCTTTTACAAATCAATTACTATCATAACTAATAATTTTATATTAACACCATCGTTTTCCTCAGTATCAGATCTACAAGTGTGCAAAATTTCAGAATTTTTGGTCAACTATTAATGTTGTTTATGATCGTGTATTTGTCGCGGGGTTTTTAATGCGAACTGTGCTCACGGGTCTTGTAATCAGGCTGTATGACGGACCAAGATGGCAGATTTGGCCACACTTTCAGTGTATTTGGTTAAACGCCGTGTCCTCTCTATTATTATTATTATTATGTGCTCGCTGTTCTCTGTATTATTTGATCAGTTGAAATCATCCAAAATTTTTCCTTTGTACCGTAATGTGTTTAGGTCGTAGCTTGATTTTAACAAATGCTATGATTCTTTGTTTACATTTACTTTGTTATTTTGTAACCATCATGGCCAATGTTAAAATTTAGAAACTTTGAGTAAGGCTACTTTTAAATTAGCCTATATAGGAATTACCGTATCAAAAATTGAAATTGGTTACGTCTAACCTGTTCAAACATTTGACAAAACCACCTTGGTAAGATTGGCTAAAATATGTTCAGCCGTTATTGAGATTAAGTGTTACGTCACAGACAGCATTTTAATAATTTACCCGTGGAATTTATTTTCAGTTGATTGGAAGTAAACCTATAAGGCCTACGTTTATATATTTTTAAATATTTAACTGTACAACTACGGTATTTATTTATTGTAATGAATGTGATTTAGGCCTAGCCTATCTATTTTATGCAAGAAAAGATTTGACTGTGATAATATATATTGATATTGAGTAGGGTACAAGGGCAGTCCCAGGGGGGGTCAGGGGGGTCATGGCTCCCCCCCAAAATATTTTGTATATAGCCTAGCCCTCCCAGTGTTACTTGACGAAAATTCGACAAGCAGCACACTTTGTGTAGTGTTACTTGTCGATTTTTCGACAAGCAGACATCGTTTACGGCGAAGGCTCTATGACTGACTGAATCGGATTGAACTGGATCGAGTTAGGTATCGTTCTTTCCGTAATATTCTAAGCTTTCTCCAGAGGTCTGTCTCAGCGCTTTTTTTTCTCTGAGCCGATCGTAATTAATTGTAGCAGACAGCTGACGTGCGTGTGCGTGTATTTGTAAACAGCTAGGTTACCCTCGGACCGATGACTGATGTGTTTTATTACGTTTATCATTGTTTTAGTATTAAAAATCAAAAGTAGTGATATACATGTTGCATTATAAGAAGACTTAAGTGGTTTTGAAGTGCTGGTTGATGATCCTGAAGAAGTAGGTAGTGATATTGATGTAAATTATCAGCCAGATTCCTAGCTATGGTTAGGCTATGCATTCTTAGCTAAACGCTATGTACTGAAATCTGTTTTTTGCCCATAACTTATTTATTTGCAAATCTACTTTCTTATATTATTATATATTTGTAATCCTCATAAAATTTAGAACAAAGTGGCTATTTTCAAATATTTGTAGGCCTATAATTTATAAAATTTCATTGAGCGCGAACTTATTTTTTTTTTGAAAATTTTCGAAATTATATTTTTTTTTACCTAAAAATTTTTTTTTTGAAAAAATGTTCCTTATGTTTTATATATAATATTGAAGCCCATGATTTTCCAAACAAAATGGTATATAGAACATTAGAATTAACATTGTTTTAAGCTTCTCAGATCCGTTTTAATAAAACCTTGCAAATGCGCCAAAAATAGGTGGACATTAAGGCCTAAACTATGGACACTTGGAGGGCTGGATAAACTATTATACCAGGGGAACTTTAATAATTGTTATTGCAAATATTGTTCTACAAAATTTATTGTACCTAGTCTACACTTGTGACGAACGAAAGTACTAATTACAAACCCAAACCTATCGGCAGTGTCCGATGCTGGCTTTCAACGCATTTAATGTCATCATTCATGATTAAAAACTTGAATTGGGTATCAATCAATCAATCAATCAATCGGGTATCAATCCAATTTATCCAATTGGATAAAGAAAAGAAGTTGTATCAATAGTCAAAGCTTGGAAGGTATTGGAATATCTATTAATTTATCTGAGTTCAGTGTTAGGAATTTGTAATTAGGTACAGTAATGTCCTAACTCAATGATTACCGTATGTACCGTAGCAAATTTTAAAACTTTCAATAGGCCTACCGTATTAAATAGTATTCTTTTAGAGCACCTGATATCATATTTAAGAATACCACAACCCGATTGGTAGGCCCACATGTTGCTAGCCACGAAACAACAACAAAATGGTCGTGTCTCAGACTTAGATGCGGTTTCCCGCACCTTAGGTATGTTTTCTTCTAACTTCAACAACACAAACTTTTTTTTTGTTAAGTTAAGTTTAGGTTAAGCAAAGATTTGTTTGGTACAGTAGAGTCCCGCAAACTCGGCGTAATGTGGACTGTAAGGGTGCCGACTTTGTGAAATGCCGGGTTATTGGGAACTAGGGTTAAAAACAAGAACAATACAATTTTTAAACTTATTTACTAGGTACAGTACCTACTTCTTTAATTTATATTTATATTACAAGTTAGTAAGTCATCAGATATAGTAAAACAAATCATTTGTACGAGCTGAGAATGATTTGACAAGAGCTGGCTTGAGTCCATGTTTAACTCGGACTCAAAAAATCACTTATTTTCTGAACCAGTTGATGGCCGAGTTATCCAGACTGCCGGGTTATCGAGTGCCAAGTTTGCGGGACTCTACTGTATTATCCGGAGGCCACCCTTAAACAGTGTACTGCGGCGGTTATGTTAGGATGGGTTATCATAAATGGAAAGAATATAGGCAGCCTACTTTAATTGACTTAGGCCTACTGTCCAAATTTGACATGATTGCATTTAGCAGCCTTTGAGTTCTGCCTCCAAGAAGGCATCGATGTCGGCGAGGATTAAGTTGAATGCGTCGCCACCTCTAGCTGACACACCAGATACAGGCGATGCGCACGCTCCGGTCAATGACCTCACCTTGGCCTATTTGGAGGGGATTTGGCGAGCAAAAGTATGACTCTTCTGGTAGGTAAGTTAGGCCTATTGTTTAATTCATAATGAAACCCAGAAAGTCCTAAAAACGTTACCGGGAACTTAAAACCCAACCTAACATAACCGCAGCAGTGCGCTGTATAAGAGTGGCCTCCGGATAATATCAAAGTAGCCTACCTAACGATTTGTGTCTGATGATGGCATTGTGATGCTGAAACAGCTGAACCCGACACAAGCTTTTGAGCTGCTCGACAAAGGTAAAAAAAGCCTAATTTTTAGTTACATTATACAGCTCAGGAGCTTAAATCATGGAATTTAATACTTAGTTACCGTAACTAGGATTAGCGGTAGTATTCTTTTATTCTTTTTCTTCTTTTAATAAAAGTTAGGTACCGTAACTTAACTGTTCTGTCTGATGCATTTAACTTAGGGGCAGCATATTTTTGTTCTAGACAATTTTGTTCTTGTAATTAGATAAGAAGCTGATGGTAACTTAATCCCACAGCAAATAAGCAAAACAAAACCTCTTCACTGCCGGAAGTCTCAAAGATAGGCCTAGGCCGAAGTAAAGGCAACAGTTTATCACTAGAGAGTAGACAATAAAAAAGAGAGTAGACAATAAATATGGGGAGTAGGAAGGAAATGAAAATTAAATAATGCGAATGAGCTGAGAAATGTTAGGCCTAACTTATTGTACTAAATAAACATATTATTTTGAGTTTTTCGTACAAATGCAAAGGACTTAAGTTAGTAACAAATTAAATTTAGTAAGTTAATTTATGTTTTAACATGAACCCAATTGTCTGATGAACACTTCTAAAAATAAGTGGAAGATTCATCTACCGTAGGCCTACCCTACTAAAGCTTTTAGAAGAGGTGGCGTTTAAGGTTGAAAGTATAATTTTATTATTATATTTAGTAACTTACTCCGATTGAAATGCAGTTTTCATCGCCGCCAGAAGGGAATTTCACAATAAATTTACTTCCAGCCTTTTCTTCGGAGTCATTCAGTGGTCGAAATCGGCACACTACTTTTATGCTATCCTCAGCCGCAATTTCTCGTTCTCCAGACATGATTGCTCACTCACTCACTGCATATAAATAAATAACACTATAAAAAACGGATTATAATAAATATTCACACTGTAAAATATAAAAATAACATTTATAGTCAACGATTGACAAGAACTCTCCTTTGAGGTAAAATGGCTGCCATTTGTGTTTCGATTATTCGCCACCAACAATGGCGCCGCTGACGACTCTTCGAGCAGCTGACTTCTGGTTTACCAAACAACTATTGATTTCCGTTTCGTTCGTTTATGGTAAAGGTGTCGAATTACCAAAAACAGGTCACTGAAATGTCACTATGATGCGTGATTGACTATTTGTACGTGACATCATAAACCCTATAGTAGCAGACTGGCGTCAGACGTCTATGACGTATTTTCGCATAAAACGTCATGCGCAAAACACTCTTTCTATTGATCTAGGAACACATCTATTTTTTTGCAAATAAGAACATAGTTATTTTCAATTTATTATTATAGACTTTATTGACTAAAAAATATATGTTATCTATGAATCATTTTTTTTACATATGTGATCACTCACAATGTAAATTATAGATAGTAAACCTTATAAGCCTAACAACTAAACCAAACTTACAACCAATATTCCTTTATAAATTTGTAATTTCATTGAATAATATTATTATCGTGATGCTGCTATTTCGCCGGAAGCTACAAAAGATATTTTAAAATGTGTATACATTTTAAGTTGAGACTAACTTCTTAAACCAACGTAAACCAAATATCATAAAAACACTATATAGTACGTACATACACTAAATAAACAGTGGCAACAATTAAAAGAGATAATATGTGAGCCGTAGATTACCTACTAAAATGTAAGGAGAAAAACCAACGAGTATCGTAGCAATACAAACATTGAATCCAGTTGTTAAAATTATTATTTGGTCACATAATTATACAATTTGAACAGAAAGTCTCTACCTAGATATCCATTTATATGATCTTAATCAAAATAAGTGTTCTGAACAAAAACACATACCATTACCGTTAATTAATTATTATTCTGTAAAATAACAACTCTAGTATTCACTACTTAACAATTTAATAAAAGTGTAAAAATGATTTTCTATTTGCACTCAGAAATTCACGTACTTTCTTTATTAGGCTACATTTACACGCAAATTCTACAATTAATGAAAGTTTTCAGCAGATAAGAGAATGCATTTAACGTACAAAATGTACAAGTGAGAGAAATTAATTAAGTTGTTAAGTTAGGAATGCGTTATTTTATTCTCTGGGGGATTAAATCCGCATACAGCTTGCAAACAACAGGGCGTTGTATCCAGTAAATACTTGCTTGTTAGAACATTGTAAAAAATTAAGCTCATTAAAAATAACCATTTTATTTCAATAAACTCCAACACACTGTGTTTTAAAAATGATTTCGTCTCAACAAATACCTGTTTTTACTGTTTTATTGTTTTGGCTTGCAGTTTGTTTTCACAACAACGCAGATTTACTGTAAATCCGTGACTTTTCTGACTTTCTTTTCCGCCCTTCCACTGTTTTATGAATTATTGGAAACAGTGACAAGGACAGGAGACGCTGAGTCACACACCACTCCTTGGAGATTTGAGATTTTACTGTGTTATCTTAACAACATAACTGCGTTTAGATATCACTGGATGTTTATCTGTTTCCTCTTTCTTTTTAAAGAACCGCCCAACGCCACGTGATGAGTTCATGTTATTTTGGTATTTTTTTACGTTTAAATTCTTTATCTTCTGTGTAAAGTGTATTTAAAAAACACGATTTTGTGTGTGCGCGACGTTTATTTTATTTACTTTCCGTAGATTTAATAACACGTACAATGCTGATCAAGAAGTTGATTATTGTTTGTTAGCAAGAATTCATGTTCAATATATATATTTTTTTTTTTATTTGGCAGTGAAGTACGTTACAACGATTATTAGTGTCAGCAAAATATAAGAAATGGGGAGTAATTGGTGTGAGAAAAATCTCTCTCTTCCATCAATAGGACGAAAAAGAGATCCCGAAGGCCGAGAAATCCTTAGCACCAAGCCCAGATTATTCAATTGACGGCATTTTATAGTCTTGTTTAAAAGTTTCATCATTGAATAGAATTTTTGGGCCTCTCTCTATTTCCAATTTTTTTACTAAATAAACTATGCATTGTCAGCGGAGATAAAGTTCTGAGTGGTACAAGCGCAAGAGGCTACCGGAACCGGATACTTGTTCTGTGGTTCGAAACAACGTGCATACGTGTAAATACACTTTGTGTGCAAGTCAATTATATAAAAGTTCGGTACAATAAAACCTAGAAAAACACTATCAAATTGAATTATGCAATAGGTAATACTTAATTACACCATTTTATGTTGGACTTTAATATTTTGGACCTAGACAATATTTTAGCCGAAGAAACAGAATTCCCCGAGACGAAAAGATATAAAACTGACGGAGTTGTTAAACCGAAGGACATAAAACTAGCGAAGGAGACGTCTATGCAGTTATATTATCAGATCGTCTGAGTCGACACTGGAAAATACTTGCAGCAAACCTGCGTCATTGCATGATTATATTTGACAGGGAAATATTTAACTGATTTATTTTCTGAAGTAGATAAAGTAGATAACGGAGTTTGTCGAATTCAAACCAAAAGCCAAAAGCCACATAGTTTAAAATTCAATTCGTCTTGGATAGCTTAGACAATGCTTTGTGTATATTTTATCAAAGAAATCAGCTGTTTCCAACAACACAATGTAAAATGCACAATAATGCATTAATGTTTTAGTGTTTAGCAAATCGGTAAATGTGCTATATTTCCCTAGAACTTTCTCCACAATTATTAGACCCAGAACAGTAGATATAATACCAGAATATGACCCCACTTTCGGCGTTTTAGAGGCACTTTTAGGGCACTTTTTATAGGGGAAAAATGAGAAAAAAATGGAAGAGCTTTTTTTGGCCACTTTTTTTAAAGACCCAGCTCTCGACCTATATACCCCTATATAAATTTTCTACTTTTGTTAATACTAAAAATCACGTCTGGAAATGGTGAGCTTTTTTTGGCCACTTTTTTTAAAGACCTGGATCTCGTCCAATACAAGCCTATATAAATGTTCAAACTCCATTAAAATTTCAAATCCACATCCATTCCCATGTATATTTTCAAAATCATGTGAGGTTTGTGCGCGAACTCGGGCATGCTCCCGGCTCATGATGTGCTCCCTTGGACATCCTTAGTGGAAATCCATGAGTTCTGGCTACTTGGGAACCCAAGCCATTTGACATACAACGAATCACCCTTTCTCCTAATTACCTTCTCTACCAAATACATGTCCTTATACTTGGTCTTTAACAACTCCTCTGTATAGAAGCCTCCCCTGATTATATTGCCATTTTCATCTTTCAAGATATAAGTCACAGGCTTTGTATTCTTAACTTCTGCTATTGTAAATAGTTCCCCTGTCCAATTTGGAGTATAACCTTTACTAAAAACATGTTTATACTTGGAAATCCTTACGCTATCACCTACCTTATATCTTGGCTTTTTAACTTGCACTACTTTAGAAGTCAACCTCTCATGCACATATTTACTATTCTTAACATTCACTTGGTTAGGCTTCATTCCTATAGATCTATGCACTTTATTATTATATTTTCGAATTAACTTTGGAAGTAAATCCAACCATTTATAACTCCCCTGAGCACTAAATTCTCTATATAACCAATTCTTTAAAGTTCTCTGAAACCTCTCCACAATTGCAGCCTTAGTTGTAGAAAATGTGTGATAGTGATTAATATTTAATTTTTTCATTAGTTTGCTAAAATATTGATTAAAAAATTCTTTTCCATTGTCAGATTGAATGTTTTTAACCCCCTTTGGTAGAATGGTTTTAATGGCTTCTGTAACCACTAACCCTGTCTTATTCTTTAGTGGAGCAGCATAAGCTTTTTTAGAAAATGTATCTATTAAAGTTAAAATATATTTATTGCCAGAATTTTCTCTAGCATAGTTTTGCATATCAACTAAATCTATTTGTATGGTTTCGTTTATACCCAATACTTTAAAAGACCTTCTAATGAAATTCTTTCTTGCAGGCTTATGAAGCTCGTATGCAATTTCATTCATTTTTTATAACATCATCCTTTCCTGTAACTCTAAATACATCACCATTAGCCCCAATCAATAGATTATCTTCCATTCTTTTAAATACATAGTTTTCTGGTATATATGGTCTATTATCTATATACTTAAATCCACTCAAAGATGTGGGGTCAGCAACTAATAAATCAGGATTATATTCCATCAAATTAAAATTTTTTTCTCCATATACAAATTTTGATCCATCGTAATGCATAGATTGTGACATTAGACAAATATCATCCAAATGTTCCCCCTCTGGTAGATTTCTTATAAATTGTTTTTTGGCATCCCAACATTTTTCTTTTTTATCAAAAGTTATAGTCTGTTCTTTTATAACACAGTCAGTGTCATCAATGGCAGGTTTAACACGTACTAACCTTTTACTATTAAAACTCCAATAGCCTGCTTCCATTTTTGGAACTTGTGAAACATTCACAGCATCTTTACTATCTGTACCTTCCATCAAATTACTAATTTTCTGTTTCTTTGCATTCCAAACACCATTCTCTGATTCTAAAAATTCATAATTATTATCGTCTTGTACAAATTTACCATCTTCTTTTCGTATTAAAGTCTGTTGTAAAGTGGGCACATCATCTAAACTTTCACCCTTTTCTACATTAGTAATTTTCCGTTTCTTAGCATTCCAAATACCATTCTCTGATTCTAAAAATTCATAATTATTATTGTCTTGTACAAATGTACCACCATCTGTTCGTATTAAAGTCTGTTGTAAAGTGGGCACATCATCTAAACTTTCACCCTTTTCCACATTAGTAATTTTCTGTTTTTTAGCATTCCAATTTTTATTCTTAGATTCTAAAAACTCATATTTAGTTCTACCTTGTAAGAAGACATCACCTTTTCTAGTTAATGTCTGTCCCAAAGTTGATACATCATCTACAAACTCCCCATCTTTAACGTTACCAATTTTACGGTTTAAACCATTCCAACTATCGTCTTGTAAATTTAAAGTAGGTTCACTACTAGCCCTGGGTTCTGCAGGCTTATTATATGGATTATATAAACGATAAAATTTATCTATAAACATATTTTTATTTAGTAAATAATTCCACTTTCTCTCAATTCCTCAATAATGGAATCTATTTCATTATCCACTCCTGAGTTACCGGCTTGGCGACTTAGCCAAAGAAGTCTTAACCTATCTACAAGCTCATTAGGA